TTTCACCATGTTGGTCAGGCTGGTCTCGAACTCCTGACCTCAAGTGATTGGCCTGCCTTGGCCTCCCAAAGTGCTGGAATTACAGGCATGAGCCACTGCACCCAGCCCATATGAACATTTTAACAATATTGATTCTTCCAATCCATAAACAATGAACATGGAAAATCTTTCTTTCTTTTTTTTTTTTTTTTGAGACATAGTCTTGCTCTGTTGCCGCCCAGGCTGGAGTACAGCAGCACAATCACAGCTCACTGCAACCTCTGCCTCCTGGGCTTAAGTGATCCTGCCACCTTAGCCTCCCAAGCAACTGGGACTACGAGTGCATGCCGCCACGCCCAGCTAATTTTTTTGTTTTTTTGTAGAGACAGGGTTTTGCCACCACGCCTAGCCAAGGTTTACCAGTGTTTTGTTGAGGATTTTTGCATCAATATTCATTAGTGATACTGGCCTGTAGTTTTATTTTTTATTTTTGATGTGTCTTCATCTGGTTTTGGGATCAGGGTAATACTGGCTTTGTAGAATGAGTTTGGAAGTATTCCCTCCTTCTCTAATACATCTTTTTCTCTAAATGCTTCTCCTTGTTAAAAGTAAATTTGTAGGCCAGGTGCCGTGGCTCACGCCTATAATCCCAACACTTTGGGAGGCCGAGGCAGCTGGATCGTCTGAGGTCAGAAGGTTCAAGACCAGCCTGACCAATATGGTGAAACCCTGTCTCTACTAAAATACAAAAATTAGCCGGGTGTGGTGGCACATGCCTGTAATCCTAGCAACTTGGGAGGCTGAGGCATGAGAATTGCTTGAACAAGGGAGGTGGAGGTTGCAGTGAGCCGAGATGGTGCCACTGCACTCCAGCCTGGGCGACAGAGTGAGACTCAATCTCAAAAAAACAAAAAGTAAATGTGTTAGGGATAAAAGACTTTAAGGTGAAAAAATAGGATTAATAAATTCAGCATGTTCCATAATGGGGGAACCTATCTCCCTTAGAGTCTTTTCTATTTCATGGACAATATTTGTTCCACCATGTATGCTGTTGCCATTTTGCATTAAAGGCCTGAGTGCCGTTAGGATACATGTTTTGTACCCAGAATTTGTGAGTTCCCCATACTAGGGTTAGATGAGTGGTCATCACACCTGGGTGTAATTAGTTTGAGTATGCCATAAAGCCTCCCATAGCCTTCCTTGTCTCAGCATGCGGCTGTTCCCCAGGAGAATTTGGACATATCATGGGATGCCTACTGCTTTACTACTATAAGAAACCCATTTGGGCTGGGCATCCTGGCCCACGCCTGTAATCTCAACACTTTGGGAGGCCAAGCCAGGAGGATCACTTGAAGCCAGGAGTTCAAGACCTGCCTGGGCAACATATTAAGACCCGGTTTCTACAAAAAAAACAGAAAAAATTAGGTGGATACGCTGGCATATGCCTGCAGTCCCAGCTACTCAGGAGGCTAAGGTGGGAGGATCACTTGGGCCTGGGAGATTGAGGTTGCAATGAGCTGTGATTGCACCACTGCATTCCAGCCTGGGTGATAGAGTGAGCCCTTATCTAAAAAAAATTAAAACTAGGCCAGGTGCAGTGCCTCACACCTGTAATCCCAGCACTTTGAGAGGCTGAGATGGGTGGATCACCTGAAGCCGGGAGTTTGAGACCAGCCTGACCAAATAGAGAAATCCCATCTCTACTAAAAATACAAAATTAGCCGGGCGTGGCGGTGCATGCCTGTAATCCCAGCTACTGCTACTTGGGAGGCTGAGACAGGAGAATCACTTGAACCTGGGAGGCAGAGGTTGCCACGAGCCGAGATCGCGCCATTGCACTCCAGCCTGGGCAACAAGAGCAAAACTTCGTCTCAAAAATAAAAAAATAAAAAATAAAATAAAAATTTTTTCTATTCTGTTTAACAGCTTTTCATCCACAAAAACAAGAGTGACCTGCATTTGTGCATGGAGCTCATTGGAATAGGCTGGCCATGCTGCTGCTATTCGTTCATTTTAACCGGAGACCTTTCTAAGCATTCAATGATCAAGGTTTACAGTTACACAGTGATTACTCTGCCGGGAGTTGTAAACCACATAATCCAAAGGCCCCAAAAAGAGTAGTTCCTGGAAATTCCTTCCCAAATGGTATCCTTCATAGTAGATGTAACCTGAAAATTAAGAGTCAAAAATCTCTGGCACATTGCTAGAGTTACATTCTGTTGTCAGCAACTGGTGCAGCTCATCCTCATATCATATGACCAAGTCTCAGAGCAGTGCCACTCAGGTTTGCAGGCTGCCATTTGACCTTGTCAGGGCCCAAAAGCAGGAGTCGTCTTGGCAAATGCATGGCTTCCCCCATTCAGGCATCTGGTATAATCATGCTAAGACACAATCTTACTCTCTTGTTTTGAGTCTCTCCAGGCACGTGATATTGCATTCCCCTCATTGCATAACCCATTTACTCATTCCTTTACCCTCAGCTACTGCGTCTCTTCCTCACCATCTGTCATTGATTTTTTTTTTTTTTTTTTTTTTTTTTGAGATAGAGTCTTACTCTGTTGCCCAGGCTGGAGTGCAGTGATGCAATATTGGCCCACTGCAACCTCCACCTCCCGGGTTCAAGCAACTCTCCTGCCTCAGACTCCCAAGTAGCTAGAATTACAGGCATCACCATGCCCAGCTAATTTTTGTATTTTTAGTGGAGACGGGGGTGTTGCCATGTTGGCCAGGATAGTCTCGATCTCCTGACCTCCTGATCCACCTGCCTTGGACTTCCAAAGTGCTGGGACTACAGGCATGAGCCACCACGCCCAGCCTATCATTGATTTTTACCAAGTTTTTCCACTTCTGAAAGGGACATTAGGCTTGGCCACTGTGCTGATCCACATTGCCAGCACTAACAGTACTGTTGCAGGTGCCTTGCCCTCAGTCCGCTGCCAGTCATGTAAGGAAGAGTTACAAAGGTGCGGAACTAGTGGGCTATCTTGACCACTAGGCAACATGGCTGCATTCACTAAGAAGCCAAATTTAGCCAGATACTGTGAAGGCACAACACATCCCATCAGACCCTTAGTAAATCTGGCATAAAGGTTTAAAGGTACAGTTGCAGTTTTTTCCTTGAGAATCGTCCCTTCTTCTGACACCCACATTTGCAGTTCTAGTCCTGGGGCCACTGTATTGGGTAGGAAAATGTAGTTGAGATGATTTGGGAACAAATCATATAGTTATACCAACAACTCCACCCTCCCTCTTCCCAGATCACCCAGAAAAATTAGGGGAATCCATCCAATGGAGACCTCCCTTTGCTCCTCTCAAGTTGAATGTGAGCACACACTTTTTTTTTTTTTTTTTAAAAGACAGAGTCTTGCTCTTGTTGGCCAGGCTGGAGTGCAGTGGTGTGATCTTGGCTCATTGCAACCTCCACTTCCCAGGTTCAAGTGACTCTCCTGCCTCAGCCTCCCAAGTAGCTGGGATCACAGGCGCCTGCCACCACACCTGGCTACGTTTTGTATTTTTGGTAGAGATGGGGTTTCACCATATTGCCCAGGCTGGTCTTGAACTCCTGACCTCAATTGATCCACCGGCCTCGGCCTCCCAAAGTGCTGGGATTACAGGTGTGAGCCACCGTGCCCGGCCAGAGCACACATTTTTGAAGGTATGTAAGCCACCCCTTCATGCTTTTATCTCCCTCCCCCCACTATAGACAGCAAACGTTTCAACTATCTGTTCCAATTTTCTATCAAAGCGCTACTCTGAGGATGGTATGCAACACCATATGTCCATTTGCTGTGGTATTGCTTGCCCCGTTGCTGAACGCTAGATGCTGTCAATTGTGTTCTTTGATCTGAAGAAATATAACTTGGTGGTCCACACTGGTACAGCATCTTCTGTTCTAATACAGCATCTTGTAGTATTTTGCACATTTGCATCTACAACCTGATATGCAAAGCTACTTTAATGTGCCCTTTACATTTCCATAGGGTTATGCCCCAGGTGGGCAACACTTTAGTAGTTCAGTTTTTCACTGCCCATCTGCCAGGCCATTGGCCACAGCCCATGAGTCAGTAAAAACCCAAACACAGGGGCTTTTATCATTCGATTCTTCTATCACTGCAAGGAAAACAGCATGCAATTCAATCCACTGAGATGGTTTGTTCTTACCTTCTTCAAAGATTTTCCATCCTCAGTCAGAGTGCAAAGGCCTTCCAAACAAGGTCTTTCTACCTATAAACCAAGCAGCTTTTTGTCATTCAACCAAGAGCTGTTCAAAGGGCCCCTATGTGGCACTAGGATCCATCAGCTCCTCGGTGCTTCCAGAGTTGACCCTAGGGGGAAAGAGGCTTCCTGCTCCTGAATACCATGAGCACCTCCTTGCATTCCCTGAGCAGCACCCTCCTGAATAAACGTTTCCATTTTATTCAAGAACTCCTCTGGGCACTGCCTTCATTACAGAGTGTTCCTCTGACATGACCCAAGACATTATGGCTATTTCAGGTTTCAGGATTATTTTGTGTCCTGCAGTCATGGAAGCAGTTTCTGGAAACACTCAAGAGCCAGCTAGTAATTATCTCTCAAATGACCTACACATACACTGCGCCTGGAAATGTTCTGGCCCAATCTCAGCGATCACCACTGAGTGCACCTCCCAGGTTTCTGCCATAAGCCCTTCCGATTGAGTCTACACAGGGCCATTGTACAGAGAATTGGCTACACCAGTATGATTAAAGTGCTAACCTCCCTTTGTCCACCAGCTATTCTATACCATCTCAAATTAGCCACCAGTGTGGGCTCAGGCAGTCAGACAGGCACTTTACTGCCCGAAGACCCTACTTGTTCCCTCAGCCCTGTATGTCACTCCAACCCACAAACTCCACACACACACACACACACACACACACACACAGCCCTTGTCCAGTCCCAGGGAACATGCCTTGACCAGTCTGCCACAGACTCTAGCCTTCTCTTCTGTCTTAATGGGGTGCTGGTAGTGACCTGACCTGCTCCTATCCCTGTCTCTGCAGCGAGATTTACTGCCACGGGGATCTCTTACACCAAGTTCAAATGGCCAAGCTCTATCAGGATGACAAGCAGTTTGTGGACATGCCACTGTCTATAGCTCCAGGTGAAGCACCTAGGGCTGAACCTCCTCTCCAAAGAACCTTCTCTCCAAAGAAGGCAGGGGGCAAGAACAAGCAGAGAGGCCCCTGTGATCAGGGAGTGGCTTGTGACACCCTGCTGACTCCTCCCTGCTGCCTGCTCTCCAGAACAAGTCCTGCAGACCTTCAATGAGCTGTCCAGGGACCACAATCACAGCATCCCCAGGGAGCAGCTGCAGGCGTTTGTCCAGGAACACTTCCAGGCCAAGGGGCAGGAGCTGCAGCCCTGGACCCCTGCAGACTGGAAAGACAGGTATGACTCTGGACGGGGAACAAGAGAGGGTCCCTTACAACTGAGCTGCCTCCCTGAACCCTGGGGGGCCTGTGTTCTTCCAGCCCCCAGTTCCTGCAGAAGATTTCAGATGCCAAACTACGTGTCTGGGCAGGGCAGCTGCACCAGCTCTGGAAGAAGCTGGGGAAGAAGGTATCAGCATCCTGGGCCTGCCCAAGGCCTGGCCAAGGGAACTGGAGAGAGGAATGTGCCTGGGGCCCACAGTGTCTCCGGAGCACAGATCGGGCTTCTTTTTCTGAGAAACCAGTTCCTGACCCCTGGGTCCCCAAATAGAAGCCCTCTAGAAAGAACTTTTGAGATCAGAAGCGCAGCATCTACTTCTAATGCCTCTCCTCCTCCAGGAAGGCTCCCCAGCCTCCCCAGGAAACCCCAGCCTGCCCTGCCACCTCCAGGCTGCCCAGTACTGGGTAGATGTTCACTGCCTGCTGGGCTGTCTCCTTCCCTGAGCTCCTTCTCAGGAGGCCTCCGTCTCAGGAAGAGTCAGTGCTACTGCTGCTTGGGGCCAGGCCTGTGCTCAGCCCTGTCCTGAGCTACTTTGCTCATCTATGTCCCCTCACCTGGGGAAAGGGTTTGGGGTTTTACCCCTACCTGGCTCAGAGAATGGGGGTGATGGGCCAATCCTCTGAACCTGGTTGGGTGGTGGCAGCAAGGATGGGGAGGGGAAATGGGGGGCTGGCACCCCCTTACCCACCCAGCCCACCCTGGGTCTTTGTAATGGCCGCTGCTTGGTGGATACCTGCCCGGTGCCTGGCTGAGTGGTCGAGTCTTCTACCTGGCACCAAGTTGAGCCAGGACTCCCAAGGCCAGAAGGTGACAGATGAGGATCCCAGGGCTCCCAGGGGCCAGGCCTTTATCACATGGCTGAGCAGCAGTGGAGCCAGAGCTGAACCCAAATGCCTGGCTCCAAAGCCTGTGACTCCCGGGGCCTCAGATTCCCCAGCTGCCTGCAGCCTCTGCTTCCATGGGGATTCTAGGCTCCCCTTGCCCTCTCTCCTGATTCCAGATGAAGCCAGAGGTTCTCAGCCACCCTGAACGGTTCTCTCTCATCTACTCAGAACACCCCTTCATTGTGCCTGGTGGTCGCTTTGTGGAGTTCTACTACTGGTGAGCGCCCAGGCCTGAGAGACCAGGGGGCCTGCAGGACTGGCAGTGGTGCAGAAACCCAGCAGGGTGTCTTGAGCACGGCAGAGTGCCCCACTGGCTGGTGTGCAGGGCAGAGGGAGACAGTAGGGTGGTGCCTAAGCTGCCCCTTCCCCAGGGACTCCTACTGGGTCATGGAGGGTCTGCTCCTCTCGGAGATGGCTGAGACGGTGAAGGGCATGCTGCAGAACTTCTTGGACCTGGTGAAAACGTGAGAGGGGGCCAGGCACTTCCAGCCTAGGTGGGGAGGATTGGCAGGTGTGCCATAGGCCTGGAGCTGGATTGCCTTGGTGCCAGTTGCTGGGGAGAAGGCATCTCAGCAGGGCTTCCTCTTGGCAGCTATGGGCATGTCCCCAATGGCGGGCGCGTGTACTACCTGCAGCGGAGCCAGCCCCCACTCTTGACCCTCATGATGGATTGCTACCTGACTCACACCAACGACACCACCTTCCTACAGTGGGTACCACCCTTCTTGTGCTGCTCTGCAGACCCACCCCCCACCTCAGACCTCTCAGGGATGGGGATGGGCAGCGCACCTGGGCTGAGGTGTTGTCTGCTTCACTCCAGGGAGAACATTGAGACGCTAGCCTTGGAATTGGACTTTTGGACCAAGAACAGGACTGTCTCTGTGAGCTTAGACGGAAAGAACTACCTCCTGAATCGCTATTATGTCCCTTATGGGGGACCCAGGTGAGGAACTGCACAGCCCACCCCTCAATCTCTTACCTGCTCACTCTGATTAGAGCATCACAATCCCCTGGGCAGGAGGAGGAGTGACTTAGCCTGACCTCTCAGATGGTGACACCGAGAGCCCTCTGCAATCCTGGGCTATGGGGGCCCAAGGGCAGTTGGATCAAGATGGCTCAGCCTCCTCTTGACCATAGAGGGGCTTAGTAGCTACTAGTGCCGGGCTGCCCACCTCTCCTCTTTGCCAGACCTGAGTCCTACAGCAAAGACGCAGAGTTGGCTGACACCTTGCCGGAAGGTGAGCAGCAGCAGGGTGAGGGAGGGCTGGGGGCAGGGTGGCTGAGCACCTCTGTGTCAGGCTCTGGTCTCCTGTCATTGGCTGCCTATCCTGCAGGCGGGACTGGCTGGGTTCCCTGCTGTGTCCTCACAGGAGACCGGGAGGCTCTGTGGGCTGAGCTCAAGGCTGGGGCCGAGTCTGGCTGGGACTTCTCTTCACGCTGGCTCATCGGAGGCCCAAACCCCAACTCGCTTAGTGGCATCCGAACCAGCAAACTGGTGCCTGTTGACCTGAATGCCTTCCTATGCCAAGCAGAGGAGCTGATGAGCAAATTCTATTCCAGGCTGGGTGAGCACCCCAGGAGGGAAGGGTAAGCAGGGAGCCTGGTTTCCTGCCTCAGACTTGGCAATAGAACTGGAAGTATGACCCTGGGGTGACAGGCCTTCAGCAACCCAGCCTGTCGAGCCCTGCCCTAGTGGACGCCTGCATTCACATTTGTGTACCAGACAAGAGGACAAACTGAGCCCACCCTAATCCCCTCTTCCTCCCTTTCTTACTGTCAGGGTCTCTAGGGTCTGTGAGGGGAACCCTAGTCCACACATCCAAAATCCATCCACTCCCTCTCCTCAGACAGCTGTTCTTGACCCCCTGAGAGCTAGGGGAATCCACCCAGCCAATACCCTTGGGAGGATAGACCCTGGGACAGATCAGCTCCAGTGGTTCCCTGGGAGCAGTGTGGGGCCATATGCTCAGGAAATTCCAGGACCTAGAGACCAGAAGTGTGGTCGGTTCCAGGTCAGCACATCCCCTTGGTCATCAGGGTGTCTTAGCCCTTGCAGAGAAACACAAAGGGTGGAGGCCAAAGTAGAGCCACAAAGGGCTTGGGGCCCGCAGGCAGGGTGCTGGCTACTGGGTCTAAAGGCAGCATTACCCCAGGCAACGACTCCCAGGCCACAAAGTACAGAACCCTGCGGGCGCAGCGCTTGGCCGCCCTGAATGCAGTCCTGTGGGATGAGGAGACTGGTGCCTGGTTCGACTACGACCTTGAGAACAAGAAGAAGAACCAAGAGTTTTACCCATCCAACCTCACTCCACTCTGGGCTGGGTGTTTCTCTGACCCTGGCGTGGCGGACAAGGCTCTGAAATACCTAGAGGTGAGGGCACAGCAGGTGGCTCGGGTCCACTGCAGGCAGCACCACCCCCTCCCTTGACCCTGAGCAGGACCTGCAGGGGAGGCCGCTTCCTCTGGCTGTGCCTCGTCCCAGCCTGCGGGTCCTGCGGAGCCACCGGGGGGCAGCTGTGAGCCAAGAAGAAAAGAGTCAAGAAGGGGACATCTGGCTTCCTGTGGGGCCCAGTATCCTGTCCTGGCTCCCAGTCCAGCCCCACTCACAGTCATGGGAATGTCTGGGACCTTCTAGGACAACCGGATCTTGACTTACCAGTATGGAATCCCGACCTCTCTCCAGAAGACAGGCCAGCAGTGGGATTTCCCCAATGCCTGGGCCCCCCTGCAGGACCTGGTCATCAGAGGTAAGGAGGCAGGGCTGGCACAGCCAAGGGCCCTCCCCAGGGTGTAGAGGTGGGCCTCCCTGGTGCTGGGGAGGCGTTAACAAAAGATGCAGGCCCCGTGTCCTTTCTCTCACTCCTCTGCTCTCCTGGCCTCCACTCGGCAAACATTTATGTCCACCCAACCTGTCCAGTGCAATCAGTCCTGTTTGCCCTTCAAACCAACGCCCTCGATTAAGGGCAGTTTGGCCCGTGGTCTCAGAAAGGAAGTCTTAGGACCCAGGCCTCTTTCCCTCCTTGGGGAGAGTAGGGTGCAGCCTCTGCTCTGTCTGGGATGGGAGACCTGGAGGTTGAGTCCTGCCTGCGATGGGGTCTAGGCCTGGCCAAGGCACCTTTACCTCGGGCCCAGGAAGTGGCTTTCCAGCTGGCTCAGAATTGGATCCGAACCAACTTTGATGTCTACTCACAAAAGTCAGCCATGTATGAGAAGGTGAGCTGGCCTGAGCCCTCCCGCCACCCCCAGGGCGTCCCAGTGCTGAGGTGGGTCAGGCTTGGCAGCAGGGCCCAGGGCCAGCACAGCTGGGATGGTGGCGACACCCAGTGGCTGCTCCTGGGCACTGCAGGGGCTGCTGGGCAGGCAGAGCAGCTTCTCCCCAAGGGCTCCGGTTGTTTGTTGTTCCTGGAGCTGGGGGCAGTGCCTGACCTACACCCCACCCGCTTGTCCCCAGTACGACATCAGCAACGGTGGACAGCCTGGTGGGGGAGGAGAGTATGAAGTTCAGGTGAGCAGGCCAGGGGTGGGCTGGCCAATGCCCTACAGGGAACTCCTGGGTTCTGCTGCCCATGACCCCCACCCCAGGCCTCAGTGTGCTCACCTGCATGTCGGCCCACGGTGCTTCTGGTGCTTCCTGTACTGCTGGGGTTAGGCAGGGCCAGTGCCCCTGGGGAGAGAGCCCACAGTCCCCACCAAGGGTCTGGGGCTTCCCCAGAAACCGGGCCCCACTGCCCTGCCTCTCCCAGGAGGGCTTTGGCTGGACGAATGGCGTGGTCCTGATGCTGCTGGACCGCTATGGTGACCGGCTGACCTCAGGGGCCCAGCTGGCTTTCCTGGAGCCCCACTGCCTGGTGGCCGTCCTTCTGCCCAGCCTCCTGTTCAGCTTCCTGCCATGGTGACAGCCCTCCCCTCTTCACCTGGCCCCAGCTCCTGTCCCATTAAACCTCTGCACCAGTTTCCATCTTCCCCTGCCTCTTCATGCCCTCCTACCTCCCAGCCTGTCCTCAGAGTGAAGTAGGGGGCAGGTTCATGACCTGGAGGTCATGGGTTAGGGCCTAGCTCCCTCCTGGAACCTTGAACAGGGTGGAAATCCTGCTCTGCGGGGAAGACCTGTCCCTCCTACCCCAAGTGCCCCAGCGCCAAGTCCCACACCTCCGGCCTTCCACTCACTTCCGTAGTCCAAAGGCTTTATTGTTCTGCTGAAATGCTTACAAATACTGAAAACCCCCAGCCTGGGCCCACGCAATCAAGGGCTTAATGCTGGGAAGGAGAGAAGGGGAGGTGGGCTTTGTGTTAAGGCGTGAAGGGCGAGGCCGGACAGCTGGAGGCCTGGTCCTCCACTCTCCATTTCCATCGCCCTTCGGAGGCTGAAGGAAGGGCAGTGGCACCACAGGGCCCTTCCCCTCTGCTGCATCATCTCCTGCTCAGGCTTTCCCTCTAGGAGCATCGGAGGAATCCTCTTTCCCTGTCGGAAACTCGACCCTGTACAGAACTCCAACTATAACCTTTCTAGCTTCCCCTCCCAACCGCATCGCTCCTCCTCTGTTTCCTAGATCCCCCGGCTTCATCCCTTCTGGCTCTAAGCAAGGCACCAATGGAAGGGAGAGGGCTGGACTGGGGGGCTGGCAGGCTGTGCATAAGGGCTGAAGACACAGGCATGGGGCAGGGAACAGGTGTTCAGTCCCTTTCCCCCAGCATGAGATGCCCAGGGGCCTGGGCTGGAGAGATGATGGCACGTACCCTCAGATGGCCCACAGTTGAAGCAGTGGGCTGGGCCACAGAGCTGCAGCAATTAGTATGTAACCATGGCAATGAAGCAGTCGCTATGGTAACCATGGTGATGGGTCTGCAACTACGGGATGGAGCTGGGACCTCAAGGATGACACTTGAGATCTCTGGCCCTTGAGCAAGGTGATACAAAGGATATGGGAAAGGAGAACAATGGGGCAGAGTGGGGTTTGAGAAGTGGGAAGTGGGCTGCCTGAGCTATTACCCCACTCTGGATGTGGTTCTGCTCAGCCCCCAAAGCCCCTGGCAAAGGGGTCTGAGGCAGGAGGGGATCTTTGGCAGCTTATGGTACCATAATTTGTCTTTTAGAAAAAAGAAAACAGGCTGGGGAGAGCAGGTGTCAGGTCAGAGCTGAGGCCCTCTCTGTAACAGCTCCTCAGCCCTGGCTGGGCCCGGGGCAGGACCCTAAAGGGTTACTGCAAGTTCTGGGCTCCCAGGAGGCAGCAAAGCCACCTCCACTTTTCTTCTTCTGGCTGGTTCTTCAGGAGGCCAGAGCCCAGAAACTCACAGGACCAAGCTCTTTATAGAATATTAAAGTCTTCTTATACAAAAGCCTCCGTTGTGCTCTGCCAGGAGGCCCACAGCAGTTAGTTCATGAACTGAGTGTAGCCCTCAGCCCCTGTGACGATGACATCCATCCAGATGCGCATGGCCTCTGCAGATGGGGCCACCATGTAGTACAGCCGGTCATGGGTCTTCACGCAGAAGGTGAGGGCTGGGTTCGGGCTCTGCCAAGGGAAGAGAGGAAGGTCTAAGATGGGGCTCACCCATGCCCAGGAATAGTCTCACCTGCCTCCCTATCTGCCCTTTCCCTTCCCAGCCCCCAGAAAGCCCTGGAGCTTAGGACTGAGTCCTAAATAGGTCCAGAGCCTAGTCCCCACCAGTCCACGTGAGCCCCAGGCTGAAATGTTCCCTTCTCACACCACAGCAGTCCTGGGCTCTCTAAACTCCCTGGACCCTGACAGAGCTATACCCTGACAAGGGGGGCTCTGGTCTTTGACACCCCAAGTTCAAAAGTGAGTATCAAGAGGATCAGACACAAAGGGCTATTCCAGTGAGGACCAGAGTTTCCTCTCAGCAAAACACAGGCAGACAGAAAAAGCTGTAAGTAGGATGCTAGGCCCCGGGACCCCAGAGGAGAAGAGACCAGGACTGGGGTGGGCATCAGAGGGTTGGTGGCAGGGAGGCTGACTTGCATTAGGGAAGCAGGCCCCAGCCTCAGATATCTCCTGTGTATCAATTTCTCCCTATTAAATCTAGTCTCTGAGGGTCCCCTCCACCCCTTCCAGCCATCCCTTCTGTATCAGCCCCCCATGGGGAGATATCCTGCTGTCATTTCCAGGAGAGGAGGGAGGCAGCAAGGAGAGGGAGGCACCCAAGCCCAGAGGAGCTTCTTGCTCTTTGCAACCTGCTTTCTGCTCCTCTCTTGGGCCTGGGGGAAGTGAGGGGGGATGAAGGGGAGAGTCAAGGGTCAGGGATGAGTGAGGTACAGGAGGTGTTAATGTGCTGGTTACAGCTAAGTGGGGAGGGGTACCTCAGTCACCATAGTGAAGCGGAAAAACCTCTTCTGGGAAGGGGAGAGGGAGAAAGGAAGAGAAAGTTGACAAAGAGAACAAGGACTGGGTTGGAGCCTCTGTAGAGAACAGGCTGGAGGCCTTGCTCTCAGAGCCCCACCAGGCCACCCCTTCCCCATGGCTGTCCCTCTGGCCCCCCTCTGGTGCCCTCCACCCCTGACCTTGGCTGCACTGCGTAGGTGGTCGTAGTACACTTCCTCAATGGCCTGGAAATAGATGACTCCCTTCAGCTTCGTCTCATGCTTGTCTGCAAAGCAAGTAAGGGTGGGCTATGGAGCCAGTCACACTTCAGGTCTAGCTCCATTTATGTGGAGTTCCACGGCCTGAGCTTCCAAATCTGGGAAATGGGGTGAACATCCCAGTCTCCCAAGACCCCCAAACAGAACCCAATACAGAATCCTAAAGATATGGATAATGCTCAGCCTCATTCATAATCACAGAGAAATACAAATCAGAACTTCACTCAGAGACCACTTCTCGCCTAACCCAATGACAAAAACATACAATAAATATATAGCACGCTTTTGGCAAGTCTACGGTGAAGGAGGTAGTCTAACGACAGGTGGGAGTATAAATTGGTAAAACCCTTATGAACGATTTGGCCATGTCTATCAAAATTAGAAAGGCATTTATCTTTTGATCCAATGCTTACATTTAGGAGAATTTATCTTTCACATATACAAAGTAACATACACAAGATTATTAAGTATAGTATTGTCTATAGTCACAGAAGATTGGAAACAACCAAAATATCAATCAAGTGGAGACTGGTTAATAAGTTAGTGTGTGCCACATCACGGAAGACTAAATACAGCTATTAAGTAAAATGATATAGGCCAGGTATGGTGGCTAATGCCTGTAATCCTAGCATTTTGGAAGGCCGAGGAGGGTGGATCACCTGAGGTCAGGAGTTTGAGACCAGCCTGGCCAACATGGTGAAACCCCTGTCTCTACTCAAAATGCAAAAATAAGCCAAGTGTGGTGGTGCATGCCTATAATCCCAGCTATTTGGGAGGCTGAGGCAGGAGAATCACTTGAACCTGGGAGGCGTAGGTTGCAGTGAGCCAAGATCACACCACTGCACTCCAGCCCGGGCAAAAAGAGCAAAACTCTGTCTCAAAAAAAAAAAAAAAGAAAGAAAGAAATATCTGATACAGATACAGACTCAGAAATAAGCCTATAGTATATACCCAGATATAATATCTAGATATAGATAAATTTGATATAGAATGATCTCTAAGACACATTAGGAGGTGAAAAAGGAATGTACTGTATGCCACCTTTTGTGCAAGAAAAAGTATTTGTTTACATTCTCCTACAGAAACTCTACAAGGATACACAAGAGATTAATGAAAGTAGTTACCTGTACTGGGTGGGGCATAATTCTCAATTTAAACCTTTTGATATGTTTTTTATTTTTGAACTATATGAATACTTTTACCTATTTTTTTAAAAAAAGAAAGGAAGTGGCCGGGCGCAGTGGCTCACGCCTGTAATCCCAGCACTTTGGGAGGCCAAGGCAGGTGGCTCACCTGAGGTCGGGAGTTTGAGACAAGCCTGACCAACATGGAGAAACCCCATCTCTACTAAAAATACAAAATTAGCCAGGCATGGTGGCACATGCCTGTAATCCCAGCTACTCGGAAGGCTGAGGCAGGAGAATCACTTGAACCTGGGAGGCGGAGGTTGTGGTGAGCTGAGATCGCACCACTGCACTCCAGCCTGGGCAACAAGAGCAAAACTCCGTCTCAAAATAATAAAATAATAAATAAATAAAATAAAATAAAATAAAAAGAAAGGAAGCACATTCCCTTGATGTGTACAGAGCATTTAGCATATACATATAGCATACAGCCTCTGGAAGTCAGAGGTGGCAGGAAAGGGGCAAACTACCTGAGCAGAGGTGACCATTCAGTGAGAAGAGGCAGGATTCCTGTCAAGGGAAAGCACAGGGCCTGGGCCACCTTGTCTGTGGCACTGCTCAGATGCTACAGCTGATATCCTTAACAGTGAGCCTGAGTCCTACAGGAGAGGTCACGCCAATCACTAAACTCAATGGTGCCGGCTGGAAGTAAGCTCCTCCCTGAGTGCTCCTCCTCTCCCCAACCTCCGTGGCTTGGTAAAGGCAACTTACAGACTGGTGCCAACATGTCCCTCCAGCCTTGTATCACAACCTTCCCCTGCATGAGTCCCAAGTCCTATCTGAGCTTCTCACTGTTCCCTTAGTAATACACTTTGTATGCTGGAACTGTCTCCTCCAGCCCATTTCCTTGGCAAACTCCTAAACAATCTTCAAGACCCATCGCAAAATGTCACCACGACAGTGCACAGTTGTGCTCTCCTGTGTTCCCACAGCACAGATGCTCCTCTGTATAGAACTGATGCTGCATTGGAATCCTCCTTTATCCATTCATGGTCTACCTCCCCCAACACAAACAACTATGTGCCTGGCACACAGTAGGTACTCAATGTTGAATGAATGAATCCTAGACACCCGGATTCAGAGAGAAGTCAGAGACCCTTCTCTTAGGAAACTACAATCTCACAGGGAGGAAAATACAGACACTCAGCTATGTAAATAGCTAGTAAAGACATGGCTAGGAACTCCATGAGACCACCTACGCATCACAGGTTTTCATGAGTTAAATGAAAGAACACATTTAAGGTATTCAGCACAGTGTGTGGCACATAACATGACACTGTTATTATATCATTACACTCCTGGATTGATGTCACATGGAAAAACAGATGCTGGATAATGCAGGGGTTCAGAGGAGGATGGGAATCACTCCTAGTAAGGTGGGGTCAGGAAAGGCTTCCTAGAGATAATATGTAATCTGGACTCCATGCAATGAGGGGGTTTCTATCGAGTTGGCAGGAAGAGGGTCCAAGCAGAATAGGCACGGCACCCAGGGCCCTTATTCAGGCCCATTTCTGACATTTCCTCCTTGGAAAAGGACCAGCCCTGCCTGGCTCTGGGCCTGCTCAGCCCTCCAGCCCCTGTTCTCTCTCATCCCTTCCTTCACAGGAAATAGTAACACACTCCTGCCTCCGCTTCCTTACCACCCACCTATCCTCAATCTTGTGCAATCTGGCTCCTGGCCCCATGCACAGCAGAAAGCCTTCTCTTGACAAGCTCCCATCCCTGAGTCTAACAGCCTTTGGGCCACATCTTTCTTGGCCTTTCTGCAGCATCCATCATCGCTGGTGACACCTCCTGCTTGTGAATGTCTGCTCTTTTGGCTGGCTTCCTTCCCTGTTTCTGCTCCCGTTTCTATTCCTGCCATCTGAACTTGGTCTCCTTTTGTTTCACAGATGCTAACTAAGGCCACATATGCCAAGCACCAGCCCAGCACCTGGCATGTGGTTAGTGCTGGCTTCCTGTCTCCTGCCCCTTCTCCCTCTGCTGGTCTCTCCTCTTTCTCCTTCCCCACACAGGTAGGCCTGCCCCAGGGTTCGGCCCTCTCCCTCCCCTCTTCTCTGCTCTGAAGTCTGACTGCCCAGGTTCAGACTTATCTCTGTTTCTTAGGAGCTGTGGGACCTTGGGCAATTTACTTAACCTCTCTGAGCATCATTTTCCTTATCTGTAAAATGGCATAAAAATAGTGTTTCCCTATAGGATTATTTCAAAGATTAATGATATGATGCATTCAGAGTGCTTAGCATAGCACCTGGCTCATGCAAGTGCTTGATAATGGTTATCTGCTATTACTATTATTCCACCTGATTCAACTATTACTCCACCTCTAATCCTGACCATCCTCCTAAACCTAGATGTCCCAGAGGCACCTCAATCTCAACATGCCTCAAATGGAACTCTTTTCCCCAGGCCTCTTTCTTCCTCTCCAAAGTCCCTGGTCCCTCTACCTTCCTGGCACAGAGAGAAACATGGGACACCTGTGCTTCTGTCTCTCCTGCCTCCTCAAAACACCCAGGACCCAGGCTGGTCAGGGAAGGCTTCTTACAGGAGCCAGCAGGTGATCAGGGACCAGGTTAGGGGGAAAAAGGGCACTCCAGACCTGAGCATCTCTGGCACCAAACTCTGCAGCCCTTTCCCCTCTTCTGAGCTCCTAGCAGGATTGCTCTTCCCAGCTCTGTGGCTGGGTGAGGCTGTGTGACTGGCAGACAGCCCCACCTATGAATTGTGGACAAAAATGATGTGTGTCACTTCCCAGCTGGGACATTTAATACCAAGGCCAGGCTCACTTAAGCCTCTCTTTCCCTCTGCCACTGTGGCGAGAAATGTTCCCAAAAGGCATGCTGAAGTAAAGACAACACTGATGCAGGGCAGAGCCCCCACCAACTCACGATGTGCAGTCCACATGTATTGGGCATAAGGAAACCTAGTACTTGTAAGCCACTAGGATTTTCCTTTTTAATATTTCTTTTTTTTTTTTTTTTTTGAGATGGCGTCTTGCTCTATCGCCAGGCTAGAGTGCAGTGGCATGATCTCAGCTCACTGCAACCTCTACCTCCCGGGTTTAAGTGATTCTCCTGCCTCAGCCTCCTGAGTAGCTTGGACTACAGGCATGTGCCACCATGCCCAGCTAATTTTTGTATTTTTAGTAGAGACGGGGTTTCACCATGTTGGCCAGGATGGTCTTGATCTCTTGAGTGTGTGATCTGCCCACTTCGGCCTCTCAAAAGTGCTGGGATTACAGGCATAAGCCACCATGCCCGGCCTTTTAATTAATTTTTTTGAGACAGAGTCTCACTCTGTTGTCCAGGCTGGAGTGCAGTGGTGCAATCTCGGCTCACTGCAACCTCTGTCTCTTGGGTTCAAGCAATTCTCGTGCTCAGCCTCCTGAGTAGCTGGGACTACAGGTGCATGCCACCATGCCCAGCTAATTTTTATACTTTTAGTAGAGACAAGGTTTCACCATGTTGCCCAGGCTGGTCTCAATCTCCTAGCTTCAAGCTATTTGCCCGCCTTGGTCTCCCAAAATGCTGGGATCACAGGTGTGAGCCACTGCACTTGTACAGCCACTGGGATTTTATGACCTTCTTGTTACTGCGGCATACCTTACCTTCTCCTGACTAGGGTATAACACAGCATCCCATGCTCCAAGTAGGAAAAGTACAAAGGGAGTTCCAGGGATGGGAAACTAGGATAGAGGCTCGAACGGAGAGAGCTGATGGAGCAAGAGGGTCTAGTTGGCCTGTTCCTGGGCTATCTTGAGCACTCCTTGGCACTGTTCAACTGCTTGTCTTGGAGTCTTTGATGGAATCTGTCCAAGGGGGAGTTCCCAGTCCAACTCCGACCATAAGACCCCATGCTCCTGCAAAGCCTGGATGTCTCCTATCAGCATACCCATTGTGCATTGTTATAATTCTTGTCTGCTTCCCCGACTATAAGCTCCATAAGAGAGCTGTGGCCATCTTACTTATCACCAGAGCCTAGAACAGTGCCTGGAACTTATTAGATGTTTAGTAACATTGCTGAATGAAGGAATGAATGAATGAACACATAAATGGAGGTGAACCAGGTACACTGTGTACATTTCAGGGAAGGAGGGCAAGGCCCAGTCCAAGCCTCTGGTCCCCTACTTGGAAGCTTGGCCTCCTTCTAGAAGACCAGCCATCCTGGGTAACAGAGCCCAGGGGTCCTGGCTGGCCCCCGGGACGGCCTTGTTGGAACTCACCCACATAATAGGAAAGGGTGCGCTTGAGCCGGTCGAAGACAAACCAGCGCTTCTTCCATGATTTAATCTTGCCGCCCATCTTGACTAAGTAGCCACGGCAGACCTGGTGGGAAGCAGGAGTAAGGAAGGACCCAAATGTGCAGCCCTTAAGCCTTAAGTGTGTGCCATCGCCTGTGCCTGTATTCATGGGGGACTGTCCCCAACATCTCTTCAGGCCAGTACACCAGGTCCTGGGACAGAGATCTGGTTAGATAAGGGTAGAGACTGACGCCACTATTCCAACGACCCAGGAGGTGCCTCTCACCATGGGGTCCTCCCTCTCCCCAGCACCCCAGGGCCACACACGCCTTGTACCTTGCTGCTGAGCACCACGTGCAGGCAGGTATCAACACCATGGCCTGATGACTCAATATGTGTCTTCAGGTCAAAGTCCTCCTTCCGGATTGGCAGGTAGCGGGTCAGGGGTCGTGCCTGGGAGCAAGAGGGAGGGTCAGGAGAGTCTCCTCTCTTCCCTCATTATTTCCCTGTCCAGGCCCCTTGGCTTCACTTCTAAACCCCAACAGCCTGACATCACCCATCCCCAACCCATGGTGGTCACTCTGGCTCCACAGGGCTTATGGCAAAAGTGGGGACCTACCATGCCTACGTTGACTCTATCTAGGGCCAGGCAAACTGCGAAGTCACTCTGTGCCTCAGTTTTCCCACCTATGACCAAGACACGGCATCTTTGTCTTGCCCTGTCCCTCCTTTCCCTCCTGAGCCAAACAGAATAAAGCAAGAGGCCAGATAAGAACATGCTCTGGGAAGAAAAGCCCAATAAGAAATCTAGTCTCTGACTTCCCATGGGACCTTGTTTGGGTCACATCCCTTCTCTGGGCCTCAGTTTCCTTCCATGTAAAACACGGGTTTTGAACTAGGTAATTACTAAGGTTTACTCTACCTCTGATACTAACTAGAATTTTCAGTCAGCTGGAATATTTTTCTACTCTTCCTTTCCTAGAAGAACATTAAAATGGCCAGGAAACATCACACATTATTTAAAGAAAAATCAAAACACACAACCCCATAGATAGCTGATTCTACCCATCTCCCACACCAGACACCAGTGGCCACTGCTGCAATGCCTGAGCCCCAGGACAGGGGCTAGAAGACAGACTCCCAGAGCAGTCACTGACTGAAGCAGGAAAGGGAAACTAGGCATTTTACAAATATTCCAACCACAGGGGTAAAATTCACAGAGCTTCATTTTTTTTGTTGTTTTTTTTTTCCTGAGACAGAATTTCACTCTGTCATCCAGGCTGGAGTGCAGTGGCACGATCTCAGCTCACTGCAACCTTCATCTCCTGGATTCAAGCAATTCTCATGCCTCAGCCATCAGAGTAAGCTGGGATTACAGGTGTGTGATACCATGTCCAGCTAATTTTTGTATTTTTTGTAGTGATGGGGTTTGGCCAGGTTGGTCTCTGAACTCCTGGCCTCAAGTGATCTGTGTACCTTGGCCTCCCAAAGTGCTGGGATTACAGGGTGAACCACTGTGCCCAGCCCCTTCTCATTATTTTCCAAACCCAATCCAGTTGACCTGTCCCTTAGAATTTATTTTGTTGCATTGTAGGAAATGAGGGAGCTGTGATCACTGCTTGGGAAAGATTCCATGGGACTCCCAACCTGGGGAAGCCTACAGAGACCTAATCAGAAGGGACAGCCTATCTAAGTCCTACAGATTCTCATGGGGGGGTGTAGGAGTTAGGATTTGGGACCAGAGACATGGGCAGATTTCCCAGCCCAAACCAATTTCTCCTTCTGCTTTCAATTGTTCTGCTCAAGTCTCCTGTTTAAGGAGAAAGGGTAGGGCTGGCTTTTGGGCAAGGAGGGATTTCTGTCCCGAAGAGAAACTAGTACAGTTCTGTCTTGGAGACGTAAACCAAAAGTCAGAGTGAGGTCATCCACTGATGGTGGGGACTGGAGATGAAAGGTCCTGTGGGGTGTGGGGCAGCACACCCTGAAGTTCCACATGTAGGAAAGGCAGCAGGGGAAGCAGAAGGGAAGGTGCAGTGCAGGCTCATGAAGCAGATCTGAAGCCCTGGAGAGGTCAAAGGGAGCCACTCTGATTCTTGACTACCAGCTCCCATCTCTGGGACACCTATCCAGACCCTCTTCTCTGACCCTGGATGTCTGCAAGGTGGCCTGTCACATCCTTACAACCCACTACCCCAGCACACATACACACATTTGAACAGTCCTGGCAGGTCTATGTTTTGGGGTCAATGAGTCCCAGGTAGAATTCTGCTTGTGTTAAGCCAACAGCAATATTTTCTGGAGTAGAACAGGTCTTACAGCCCAACACAGAAATCCTGGGGTCTCCCCACTTCTCTACAGCCCTCACCGTCAAGCCAACCACCACTGTGCTCCACCGCCCATTCACCTGGGAAAATTGTTTCTCCCGCATCTTGACCTCCTTCTCCACCAGCTGCTGCCTCCGGGCACTCTCACTCTGTAGCCTCCGTTCTACCTGCTCACGCCTCCGCCGCTCCTCCTCCAGGGCCTGCCGCCGCAGCTCCATCTCCCGCTCCTGCCCCCAAAGCCAAGGGGTCAGCACCTATGGCCATCCTCTTCCCCCCACTGGCCCTCGTCACACCAGGGCAGGGCTGCAGGAGGCATCCACCTCAGGGTAGTCTGGCATGAGGAGGCATCATCTTCAAAGCCCACCCTCTCCAAGAGCCCTGGCTGGTTAAAGAGAAATGCTTTAAGCATGACTGTCCTGACTTCAAACCCTGGCCCTGCTACCACTATCGGCTCTGTGATCCTGATAAAATCATTTAAACTTTGTTTGTTTTTTTTTTTGTTGGAGACTGAGTCTCACTCTGTTGCCCAGGCTGGAGTGCAATGGCATGATCTCGGCTCACTGCAACCTCCGCCTCCCAGGTTCAAGTGATTCTCCTGCCTCAGCCTCCCAAGTAGCTGGGATTACAGGCACCTGCCACCACGCCCAGCTAACTTTTTTGTATTTTTAGTAGACAGAGTTTCACCAGGTTGGCCAGGCTAGTCTTGAACTCCTGACCTCAGGTGATCCGCCTGCCTTGGCCTCCCAAAGTGCTGGAATTAGGCGTGAGCCACTGCACCCAGACATTTAAACTTTTTAAGCCTCAATTGCCTCATTTGTGAAATGAAGTTAAGAATACCCATTCAGCCGGGCGCAGTGGTTCACGCCTGTAATCCCAGCACTTTGGGAGGCCGAGGTGGGCGGATCACGAGGTCAGGAGATCGAGACCATTCTGGCTAACACGGTGAAACCCCCTCTCTACTAAAAATGCAAAAAATTAGCCGGGTGTGGTGGAGGGCACCTGTAGTCCCAGCTACTTGGGAGGCTGAGGCAGGAGAATGGCGTGAACCCAGAAGGTGGAGCTTGCAGTGAGCCGAGATCGCGCCACTGCACTCCAGCCTGGGCGCTGAGCGAGTCTCCATCTCAAAAAAAAAAAAAAAAAAAAGAATACCCATTCCTGGAATTATAGTGAAAATGAAATTAGATCATGTATATAAATGCCCATTACTGATTCCAGTAGGAAAGCACTCAAAAAATAAATGGGGCTCTGACAATTGTATCTGAATTCTCGGAACATGGGTTATCTAGATAACTTTTTTTGACAGCTAATATATAGTCCTTTCCCAATCACTAACTGAAGGCCTTTTGAAACTCCAAATTAGAAACATCTGCTATCGAACTTCAAACTTTATGGGCACAAAGTGACTACAGACTAAGGTCAGAACTGAACTTATAAAAGCCACTATAAAAGGATTTTAGAAGTCATTAAAACAAGTAATTAAATACAGAGCATGTCAGTGATGCTTTATATGTCTTAATTACTAATAAAGACCTCCTATACCATTAACTCCCATTTACTATTTCTTCCCAGCTCAAAACTTAGCAGAATCTCCTTTCCCCACATTTGCCAGGAGATGCTTACACATTTGCCATACTTAGACATAAATAAGATAGGAGGCATTCTTTTCTGGCTGGTCCTCCATTCAAACTGTCAGTATCTGTTTTTTATTAAATCCCTCAAACTGCTGACCTTACTCTCTGCGTCCCACTCTCATCTCAAACATGCAGAGTGCCTCAAATGGTGGACACAGAACAGCTTCTGCAGATCCTTTATTTATTCTCCTTCCTAGGCACACATTTCATCAGCCTGCCTATGCCCAGGATAAACCATGGGTCCCTCTTTGGTGAATCCCAGCTCCATGCCCATGTGAAGGAGCTGTCAGCCCTCTCTGCTCCCAAGGCTCCCCAGCCAACACCTCTACTCTGACTTGGACATCTGCCTCCTCCTCTAGTCTATACTTCACCCACAGTTCCTACCTTTCCTAATCAGTCCCAAGAGGAATGGCCTGCCATGCAGGTAGACAGGAATCAAAATTCCTGTAGTTGCCAAAAAGTCTACAGAAGTAAACATGCAAAAACTGGAAGTTTCCATACAAGAAATTATTGGTTGGAGAATGGTTACTGTGCTGCCTTCTCTGTTCCTAAGAGCCATGTTGTAATCTCACCAAGGTTCCCTAAACCTGTTTGAGGAATACAACCTTTTAAAACATTTTCTACCCCAAGGGAATGTGGCAAGGCTAATATGGGTGGAAGGGCTGAGCACAGGCCTTCCAGGCCTATGAGGTGGAGCACAGGCCCTTGACAGGCAGCAGGCAGCTCTGTGCCCCATCACCTTCTGCCTCCCTGATCCAGGTCAGACTCACCCTCGACTCCATGAGACGGTTCTTCTCTGCGTGAGCCTCTTTCAGCATCTTCTCCATCTCCTCGATCTTCCCCATGTCCAGACCACTCGCACTGGGGAGAGAAGGGGAAGAGGAGGTGCATCAAGGAGCTGAGGTGGTGGCTGAGGGAGGCTGTGGGCCCAGGCGTGGGGGGTACCTGGACATGTTGTCAGGGGAGCAGGCCGAGTTGCCCCCAGTGGAGATGCTGGTCTCCATGCTGTCAGAGCTCTCCAGACTCAGCGTATCGTAGGCGTGCTCACCCTCCTCCCCACGCTCCCGCCCCGCAGGCAGGTGGTGTAGGATAGAGTGGTGCATGAGAGTGGGGAAGCCCGAGGGGCCCGCTGGGAAGGGGGCTGCCCCGTGCAGGGCATCCCACTGGCACTGTGCCTCAGCTGCCGCTTTCTGCTTCAGCTCAGCCAGTCGCCGCCGTTGCTCTTCAATCACCTGTTGTCCTGCAGGAGAGACAGATGGGAGTCACAGTCGGCTCCCCACCCAGCTAAGGAGCAGGCCAGTGGCAGCACCACACACAGAAGGAGGGGCAAGCAGGGAGAGGTTAACACAGAGCAGCCCCCTCTCCCCGCAGCTTCCCTAAGGCCCCTGCAGCTCCAGGCCTGGCTGCTCTGCCAATGCTTCAGTCGCCTGCACAACCGGCCACAGATGCAGAGTCTGGCTTCAGTGCTCTTTCACATCCTGAGTCCACATAGGACACCAAACCTACCCAAATAGTGCCCAGGCAGCATGACAGCCAGCTGGCTCCAGCTCACAACCAAGGCCTAAGTAGGTCTAGGCAGGATACATGCACCCACCCTGCCTGCTGGAGAAGGGAGAAAGAAGAGATGGCGGAAACCCCATGAGCACCCAGAATGCCAATGCAGACCCCCCTGCGATGCAGAAGCAAAAGCAACAAACGCGGGAAAGAAGGCAGGGGAGACACGGTAGAGCACAGCTGAGGGCAGAAGAGAGGCCAGCTGGAGGGGTGAGGCCAGCAGACACCCCAACCCAGCTCAGCCTGGGACCCTGCCTGCAGGCAGTGGGGACCTGGGCAGGACACATCATGCTGATGCCAGGGCAGGGGCTGCCTGGCCAAAGCAATGCCCTCTGTGACCAACGTTCTACCTGCTGGGTCGTCGGTTGGGAGGGGCTCGGCGGGAAGCGACTCGACTGGCGTGGGGGACCCCGGGCAGAGGGTACGGTAGAGACACAGAGCGGGTAAGAGGAGAGAGAGGCACAGACATGGGCTTTCAAAACAACCAAATTGCACACAAGCAACAAGGACTCCTGGGCCCCAGAGCCAATATCTCAGGCAACCATTTCTAGAAGTAATCAAAACCATCCCCTGCCTCCAGAGAGGGCAATGTCTAACCCGACTCAGGTCAACAAGCAGTTCCCTTATTGGCTAGGCTCTCTAGGAAAGATGTCACAGCCCCCTAGGCCCTTAGTCTCCGGCCCTGAAGGCTTTAGATAAATATCCAGGAAGCTCTTCTTTAGGTACCCACTCCTCTAAATCCTTTCTGCTCTGGCCTAGATCCCAATGAAAGGAAAAACATCCTGTGAAAGGTATGAACATAAAGGAAGCATGGCAACTATGCAGGGTCCCCTCAGAAGAGCAAGTGGGCTGGCGGGGCAGTCACTCACCCTTCTGTTGCAGAGCTAGTTGGCGCTTGGTCTCGATGTCCTGCAGCGTGGCTGCCAGGTTGCGAGGAAGGCTGCCCGTGCCATTCTGGGTGAGTAGAGCGCTCTGCAGAGGAATGGAGAGTTTGGACCTGGGCTCAGAAGGCACTCACCCCCATTCCCAAGGCTTTTATGGGTGGTCTTGGCCTCTCCCCAGCATGGCAGTCTCCATCCCCTGCCACATGTGCAGCCCCACCCACTGTCCTCAGACCTTTGGGGAGGGGCTACGCCCCAGGGTAGCCACGCTGAGCTGGGAGGAGGAGGAGGAAGAGCCAGAGGAGGAGGGGAGGGGGCCGCTGCGGGTCCGGGGAAGGGGGCTGGTGGCCTCGCCATCCATCTTGGAGCGGTAAACCTGGAAAGAAAAGATAGTGCCCAGTGACTTCTGGCTCCCCCATTGGCCACCTCCCCCATGTCACCTAGTCTGGCTGTGATGTGACGTATCACTCTGGCACTAGGCCTCAGGCCTTCTGGCTCTGACAACAAGCCTCCTGAGCCAGCCCAATGCCCAGATGCTATTGGCAGCTGCCAATTCTCCTTTCTATGCTGTTCCTCCCTGGGCCAATCCCTAGCCCAACCCTGGGTCTAAGAAAAGACCTGTAAACAGACCCATGCAAGGATTTAATGTCAGTCAGGCAGGGTTGTGCAGGAGACCAACTAGAAACTGGTTTCCCTCTGGTCCTAGCTCGGTCACATACCTCCCTACTCTGGGCCTTGGCTTCCTTCTCTGCAAAATAAGGGGGTAGGACTAGACTAAATAATGGCCAAGCTCCCCTGTAGCACTAGCATGTGGTAAATATGGCCCTTAGCGTCACAAACCCTGACTTGGCATAAGCTCTGCTACTTCTTAGCTGTGTGGCCTTGGAAAGATACCATGCTCCAGTGTTTCATCTATAAAATGAGTTAACTTTATCTTATCTCAAAGGCCTATGGTGATGATTAAGAGAATCAAAACATGTTAAAGTCTCTAACCAGCTGGGTACACAGTAGAAGTCTTATATGATCAAACTCCTCCCCAAGGAAACATGAAATTTTAGCTGAGGTCACAGTCTTACAGATGCAGTGCCGTCACTCAACGGATGATCTTAAATGGTCAATGTCAGGCACTGCAGCAGGTCAGTGGAGGAAACCTAAGGAAAAGACTAGCCCAGCTCCCTTTCCCACCCCATGGTCAGTTGCTTGCTGCAGGTTCAGGTAGGCCCACGCCCTCCATGGCAACTCTGAGGAGGCTTGGGCTCTCACTTCAGAGTCTTTGCCCCTTGTTTTCTGCTTCCAAGTGTCACTGCTGGAGAAACCAGGAGAACAAAATACTGGCAGTTCTCCCAGGACACACTAGTTCCAGTTGCCACAGGCCCAAGAGCCTGTCAGGCCCCCAGACTGGGTGAGAAGCTCTGGGTGTTGGGAGCTGCCAAGCATAGGCCAGACCCACAGCCTAGCTCAGCATAGGGCACTGAACAGATCCCAACCTGACCACAGCTCCAGAATCCCCTTCCACCAGACACTCAATTAGACAGTTTTAGACTATGGAGACTGGCCCTCTGGTTGCCCAAATGCTAGGATAGCTGCCCAAGGAGTGACCTTCTCAGGGCCCAGAGGTGCCCTCATTGCCCTGACTGGGCTGACACCTCCACTCAAGGTGGTACTGTGTGGCTGATGGATTGGCAGGAGGTATCAGAGTGGACAGGTGCAAAGACTGGGGAGGATGGGCAGTGAAGGAGGGGTTACCTGCAGCTGACGGGAAGCTTTGGCGGGCAGAGGCGGGGGAGAAGAGTGAGGGGAGGCTGCAGTGGGGCCAGTCCCCAGCCCGGCCATCAGCTCCTGGTACCACTGCTCTAAGTCTACAGCAGGGAGTAGCAGCTTCTCCATCTGGAGGTGGGAATGGGGAGGGGAAAAGGGGACAGGAGGGGAAGGATGGAGAGGAAAGGCCAGGAAATAAAGGGAAAGGAAAAGGCAGGAAAAGGGAGAAAGAAGAAAGAAGAGGAAGAAGGAGGGGAAAGGTTAAAGGAAGGCCATATCAGGGAAGTGGACAGGAAGGTGAAGGAAAAAGGGGAGGAAGGGAGGGAGAAAGGAGAGCATCAAGAAAAAGAAGAGAAAAACAGTGAGACAACAGTTGCCCTGAATGTACTAAGGGCAAAGAGAAACAGTCAGGGTACAACTTCCAGACCACAGACATGTGCTACACCAGCCATGAAACCAGCCACCAGACAGAGCCTGCAGGCACTGGGCACTCCCCTTGGGCTGGCCCAGAGCCAGGCGGCCAGGTGAGCAGGAGCAAAACACACACGGAGCACACCAGTCGTGGGTGGGGGTAGCAAGAACTCACAGACCACCAACCTTGGGTGAAGGCGTGATGGAAGCAAACGAGGAGGAGGGCAGCATGGGAGGAAGGCAGGTGGTGGGAACCAGGTCCCGGGAGGCGGAGGCCCAGGGAGAAAGGCCTGGCACAGGGGCTGGGGGCACGGGCGAGGTGTCCCGCATCACCTTTAGCTGCTCAAGCATCATGTACTTGGGGCAAGGCCAGATGCAGGAGGGAATATAAGAGGTTAATGGAACTAGAATACATAAGATGGCCCTACCCACAGGGGAAGAGAGGGAAAGGACAGGAAGTACAGAGCCTGCAGCCTAGGAAAACCAGAGTCCTCTCAACTCGATGCCCTCATCCTAGAGCAGAAGACCTGCCCCTTCCCAGGCCATAGGAGCTGAAGAAAGCTCCCAAGGCCCCAGAGAAGAAAAGAAACCACTCCCAACCTCCCCTTATACAGGCTGCCCTTCTCCCTCTCTGTCGAACACAGATCCTTCTGTCCCCCAGCTCCACCCAGGCCCAAGGGGGAATCTAGGCCATCCATAAAGAGGTCCTTGGGCATTGGTGGGCACCCTCAGTGGCTGGTACCTCACTGTCAGGCAGGGGCTGGGCGAGCACACTGGGGGGGGTGGCAGAAGCATAGGGGTCCAAGCGGGAACATAGCTGGAAAACTTCTGCCAGGGTCACATATTCCTGGGGTGCCCAGTGGAAGGGGTAGGGGTGGGCAAAGAAAGGGGTTAACAGGGTTCAACAAGGTGCCCAACACCCCAAACTCCATGCCAGGCCACAGGGCCATCACTCCAGGTCAATACAAACTCCAAGGCAGGGGTAGGGTGCCTGCTATGCCCATAGATGGCTGCAAGGAGTGACAGAGACCAGAAAAGGGCAGCAGAACCAACAGTCTGAAGGCTCCTCCTGCCCCTTCACTCTTGGAGCCACCTTGGCATCCAGTCCTGCCCCAAGCAGACCCTGAAGGCCCATACCTGAATTCGCCCTGGGCTGGGAACAGGCAAAGAAGCCCACAGAAGGCCTTCTAAGAGTACACTGAGGATCAGAACCCAGCTCCCAGAGAACCCCCATCCCCAACAACCCGGCAGTCCCCAGTGGAGCACACACATGCAGCATGGGGCACCAGTCACACCATTCCCCAGGGTCCCCTCACACTCCATCAGCCCGGGCAGGAGCTAGAAACAGGTGGGGAAAGGTAGAGACATCACCACGGCCTGAGCAAGATGGGCTGTGAGAAAGAGGCCTTAGCAAGGAACAGCTAAAAGCCTAGCAGAAAAATGGGCCTACTGCCCAAGGTGAGTCCTTGGAAAGATGCCAACACATTCAACTGTGGGTTGGCAGAACAGGGACTGTCGTATTCATCACCTGTCCTTAGAAACTGAGCTTATCTGGGTGCTGGGAGCATGGTAGACCTCCACAATGCATGCTGAATCAAAGCGCAGGATCATAAGCCTGCCCTACCCAAGGCCCACCCAGGCCTAGCTCTAGAACCAGGTTGTCCTCTGGGGTCATGGAAAAGAAAAATGAGCCAGAGGGTCCAGCATGTTGTGAGAACTGATGAATGGCAAGCAGAATATAGGCAAATTAATATGCAATTCAATGGGCTGCCCAGGCACTCTATGGAATGGCGGCATGGCACACTCACACACACTCTCCCAAACTCTGGCCAGCCAAGAAACTATCACCACATGCCCTTCAGCTAAGCCCTGGGAGGAGCTGTAGGCAGGGGCTCAGCGGGCAGGCAGGCAGTGGGCAAAGCAGAGCACGCAGTTAGCTGTGATTACCTCTTGTGCTTTGGGGCAGAGAAGAGTGGAAGCAGGTGGGGTTAAAGAGACAGAGGAGGCCCCAGCCTGAGAAGACCCTGGGAAAAGGTCCAGAGCCTTAGTCCCCAGCCCCATCTCTGAGGACTCGGAGATGAGCAGCTCGGCCTACAGAGAGGGGACACGGTGAGGGGCTGCATCCCTCACACTTGGCCCAGTTCCCCACCCCAGGCCTAAATTGTTTGTGTAGTGAGGCAGGGAGGGAGGGAACGAAGTTGGTAAACCAGGTATGTTCTATTTGGAACTCACACACCAGACATACAGACTTGGGAAGAACCACTTAAGGGGCCTCAATATCCTCTTCTGAGACAAACGCCTAACTCAGGACTGAAGCCCAGGAGCCCCAGGATCAGCACTCTTATATCCACATGCTCCCCTTCAAGGTGAGTCCATCCAGCCCAGCCCCTACTAAGCCTCTGAGCTGTCTACCCACCCAACCCAGGCCCCTGAGTCCCCCCACATATATTCAGCCACCAAAAACAGGGAAATCAGTGGGCTCCTGGGAACTCCAAAGGCAGCTGGTGGCCATGGAAGATCAAATCCCAGAGCTTGGGGCCATTCCTCCTCAAATCTCTCCCATTCAGGGAGATGCCCCCATACAACCTCAGCCACTGGGGTGAAAGTGCTGTGTGTTACTCAGAGCCTCCCAGGACACCCCCTGGGCCTGAAGCTGGGGCTAACCCAATCATGATACCTCTTTGAGGGTCGACGTAGTCTTCGGGAAAGGCCTGCCCCCTGTGAGTGAGTGGTATCTCCTTTCCAGCACAGTCAGTTTCTCCTTCTCCTGCAAGCCCAGAATGGCAGAGAGTCAAAGAGGAGTGGGAGCCAGGAGATTGTGTGACAGGAGCCCTGTGCTCCACCCCAGCACGTTTGCACCCCAGCCCTTCTGCACTCCCCTCCCATTTACCCTACTCAAAATCCCCCAGCCCAACCCGAGGGACCCTACCTTTTGCAGCAGCTGTAAGGAGGCATTCTTGTCCCGGGCCAGGCGTTCTGACTCTTGCACGGCCTGAGCCCGGATCTGCCCAGCCTGACTGTCCAGGACGGCCAGGCGCTCCTAAAGGAGATGGGGTGGTTGATCAGGCCCTGGGGAGACAGGGCTCAACTCAAGGTGAGAACTAGCTGGCTCTCCTGCCCAGAGACTCAAGGCTCAGGTGAAGGGGATCAACCAGCTCTTCTGCTTGGCCTCAACTCACCCTAAGAAAACACAGGCTGCCATGTGGGCTCCTTCCCTCAGGCCTTCCTCCCTCCCTAGACCAACGACCCCTGTGCCATTAGGCACACCACTCAGATCCTCTAACCTCCCTTCCCTTACCCCACAACCAATGGGTCCCAAAGCCTAGAGACACTCCATCTGCCTCATTCTCCCTGTCCCAACCCCACTTGCCACCACTCAAATCCAGGCCCTCTGCTTCCCTGGTCTGGACCTTCTCACCAGCCTCTGCTTCCACTCTCTCAACTTCCTGATTCACTCCACACTGTCACAGATGTCTTCCTAAGATGACTTTGAGGTTTGTTTGCTTATCTGAATTTTCTAATCTTTCTAAAAAGAAAAATTACTTTCCAAAAAGGAATATTACTTGAATAATTTTTTTAAAATCCACAAATAAGGTCAGATCATGCCTCTCCTCAAAATCTTTCAGTGGCTCCTCATTACACACAGGATAAAGCACAGACTCCTTACCAGGCATTCGGGGCTCCCAAACCCTTTGCAGCTCCCCTCCCTCCTACTGCCTCCATGTCCTCTCAGCTCAGCCACACTGTACACTCAGCTGTGTAGCTGTAAACTCTCGGGCCTTTCTTATGTCACTTCCTTAGGCCAGAAGAGCTGTCCCAATCTTCTCTACCTATCAAGAGCTTACTTATCATCTAAGATTAGACCAAATGCTACCTCCTCTCCAAAGCCTCCCTTGATTGCCACTCAATTTCTTTGCTCCTTCCTCTGTGCTCACATTCTTATGTATCACCGTCTGCCTCTATTATTGTTATTTGTGAATATATCTGTTACCACTACCACTACCCTGCCCCAAACATAAGATCCACATTGTCTTTTCTGTCTTTATACCCTCAATAGGGCTTTTAGAACAGTACCTGGCTCAACAATCATGTGCTAAAAGGAAATGAAAAGATAATAAGGGGGAAGGATGAGGGATAGGAAAAATGGGCTGGGTTAATCCCAGGAGAGCTTCCTGAAGAAGGCAGCCTTAAACCACCACCCTTAGGAGCAAATCATGGGAAAGGAAGAGTTAAAGAAGGATGATGTCCTAAATCTGGGGTCAGTCCAAAAGAAGACCAAAGTAGGCTGGCCGGGTGTGGTGGCTCACGCCTATAATCTTAGCACTTTGGGAGGCTGAGGAGGCTGGATCACCTGAGGTTAGGAGTTTGAGACCAGCCTGGCCAACATGGTGAAATCCCATCTCTACCAAAAATACAAAAATTAGCCAGGTGTGGTGGGGGGCACCTGTAATCCTGGCTACTTGAGACGCTGAGGCAGGAGAATCGCTTGAACCCGGGAGGTGAAGGTTGCGGTAAGCTGAGATCATACCATTGCACTCTGGCCTGGGTGACAACAGCGAGACTCTGTCTCAAAATCAACAACAACAACAAAGTAGGTTGGGCAGTAATCCTCACTGCAAGAGCCACCATCTACTAAGAACCCATTAGGAGCCAGGAACTCTGCTAAATGTTTTGCATTTGTTATGTCATTTAATAAGCTCCCTTATGAGGCAGCTGCATTTATATCCATTTTATAGGTGAGAACACCAACATATTTAGAAGCTAAGATCTCTTAGCCAGCTAAGTGGTAGAGCAAGGACTAGAATCATCTATTGAACTCCCAGGCCAGTACTCTGAGCCACTCTGAATCAGAGTGGAAAGGGCAGGAGAGCACAGGGCACCAGGGTAGACAGAGCTTAGGGTGGGACACTAGGGTCTGAGAATGAAAGCTGGATAAGGTTCCTAAGGAGGAGCATGGGGAAGAATGTGATACCCCAGGTCCCAGGGGTTGAGCTCCGGTTTCCCAGGAGCCAGAGTGGGTGTGGGAAGAGGAATCCACTACCGCCAAGCCCTCCCAAACTCCCCGGAGCTTATACTCACCAGAATCCCAAAGGGATGAGATTAGCTGATCTACAGCTCCCTACCTCATTCCCTCCAGGAAGAAGGAGGAAGAGGCTAGAGAAGTGCCCACCCCTAGCCTCAGTGCAGTACAGTAGAAGGAACATGGGATTTGGGCCAACAGGCCTGGGTTCCAATTCTGACTCCAAAGCTTATATTATGGGAGGCTTTGGGCAAAATGTGTAGCTTCTCCTACTCCTAGTTTCCTTGTCTATAAAATGGGGATAATAGCACTTGTCTTATGATACCATCCTAAGGACAGCATGAGGTAATCCAAGGAAGACTCCCAGCAAGGTGCCTGACACACACTCATGTGCTTAGGTGTGTCAATTTTCTTCCTTCCATTCATCAGTCAGTGCATTTGTAAGACAGCAGCTCAGGGAGAGAAGCATGGGATCTGGACTCAAGGAAAGTCCAGCAGCTCCCCACTTACCACCAACCCCAGGCTAGCCAGCAAATCTTCTAAGTCGCCAATTTTAGACACCCCTCCCCAATCTCACCATGCTCACTTCCTCCACACTAACTCCAGTCAGGCATAATGTACATGCATGTGTGCATGTGCCTGGCCACAAGCTTCAGCCATAAGGGTGGAAGCTGCTTGAGCCATCCTCTCCAGTCCCTCTCTCACCTCTTCCCAACCCTTACTAACACATACCTCCTCCCAGCTTTACTCCCTACGCTCACACACAGGCACCTGCGCCACCATCCTGTGGTCTGGCTGAGATCAGGAGCAGACAATCACAGTATCTAGCTAGCGTGTCAGAGCCAACCAGGCCACAATATGCAATAACCCTTGTTTTACAGCTCGGCCAAGGCAGGACGGAGCCATGGCTGGAACCCAAATGAATGCCCTTTCTAGGGCCCCTAGCTGGCTCTAATATCCAGATCTCAAATCTTTCTGTGTGTCCCAGCACTTCCACCAGACAAGAGCTCTGCACGCACGGGGCAAACCTCCTCCTCCTCCATCTTTCACCTTCCTGACAGGCCAGTGCCAGGCTCTGAATGGGAGCAGAATCCACTTTCCACTGGAAGACCGAGGGGAGTCAGAGCTTAATAATAATAGCTATTCTTCACCGAGTGCTTACTACAATCACATCTTATTCTGTCTTTACATCTTGTTTAATTCTCATAACAACCTGTTATAATTCTCATTTTACAGACAAGGAAACCCAGGCACAACAGGCGAAGTTAACTTTTGTGAAGTCATCGGGATTCAAACCCAGGTCACAGGCCTCCAACAGCACGCAGCAGGGAACGGGGTGGGGCACACCTTCCTCTTGGCGATGCTGCGGAGCAGCTCAGCCTTGCTCCGGAGCAGCCCCTGACCGGCCAGCTCACGCTCCTCCTCCACGCGGCTCTCCCGCTCCAACTGCTGGAACTCCAAGTCCTCAAAGAGCTTTGTCTCAGTCTCCAGGGCCTCTGCCTCCTTCAACGACAGTGACAAAGGGGGTTGGGTGGTGCTTGCAATGCCACTCTGCACCTGGAAGGCCAGGCCACAGAGGCATGCGTTGTATGGGGCTGGACCCGGGGAAATTGGGTAGGAAACCTGCCTTTACCCAGCTCCCGCTGTACTTGGCCTTGCCCTTTCGCGGGCATCATGGCCTGGAGCGCTGACCCCCCAACCTTCCCGGTTCCCTCCAAGCCACAGCACCGACCCTGGTGTCCGGCAGGTACTGCAGGGGCCAGGTGGTCCCGTCCCACCGCTCTCCTCTCTTCCTTCTGGGGCGTGGCCCGCGGGGGCCGGGGGAGGGGGGGCGGTGGAACTGACCCTTCTCAGCTGCTCCTGTAACTGTTCCCGCACTGACTCGGGGCAGTTATCGAGCTGCGTCTGGAGCTCGGCGTAGAGCGCCTGGCGGGCCTCCAGGTGCCTCCGTCCCGCGGCCAGCTCCGCCCTCTCCTGGTCGGCGGGAGGGCGAGGGAGAGGGCGGGGCACAGGGGAGAAACAGAACACACACTCCTCAACTCCGGCCCGGCAGCGGCGGGAGGGGAGCGCGGGAGGGAGGCCAGGGCGGGACAGAATGGGGGTCGGCAGTGGGGGTTGAGAGAAGAAAAAAGGCTGGAATAGAAGAGGAGAATAACCAGGTGAGGAGAAGAAAAGAGTAGAAAGGGAAAGTGAGGAAGGAAAGAGGTGAAGAGGCAGAGGGCCCGAGGCCAGGAGCTGAAGGGTAACACAGCAGTCAGAGGTGCAGGGGGTGGGGTAACACAGGCAGAGGTGTGGGGGCAGGGCACAGATTTTGGTCTCCTGGGGTCCCTTAAACTGAAATTGTTGGGTAGGTCCTGAGAAAAGGCCCTCTGTTTTCTCTCCAAACCAGTCAAGGCTGGTTCCGCATCACAGAATCGGAGCCTCCAGTTCTCATCCCTCCCCTTCTACCACAGCCCAGAGACCAAAATTTAACCCAGGGTAAAAAGTGATGGTGAAGGTTAAATCCAGGGTTGGGCGTGAACCAGGAGCTGAGGATGTTAAAGCAGTGTGGCAGAGGGGACCCCAGCCCAACACCCTTGGCCTCCCTCCCCTCCTGCCCAGGGTCGGGGTGGGGTGTTGGCCCTGCAGGCTGAACTTCAGGGATAAGGGTTGCAATTAGTTCGGGCCGTTGTCATGGTAATAAGAGTCCCAGGAGTGGGTACAGAGGGGGTGGACTGTTCTGTCTGGGGTGAGATGACACCTCTGAGGGCGGGAAGGGGGATGAGGGGAGGGTTTGGTGAGTCACCCCTCAAAGGACAGGCAGAGGAGAAACTGTGATTACTGATTCCAAAGTCGGAGTGGAGCCATGGGCTGGGGGCAGGGGAGGGAAGCCGAGTGAACCCTCCACACCACTGCCATCACTACCACCATCACCACCACCACCGTCACTACCACAGCCTTAAATAACTTCTTTCTTCCCCACAGAGAAAGTGAAATCCAGGCCTCCAAAAAACTCCAGGTCAGTGGGAAACGAGATTAGGCAGGTTCCTTCTGAAATGCTGAGCTTTATCCCTAGGAGTGAGGCCCTGTGCTGAACCCAGTCACTCCCACCCCTCTACCCAACTCATCTACCCATCCCCAGAGAGGAGGACCTGATCAGGCCAGTTGCTGAGGTTTAGGTGCTTCCTCAGCCTTGGACTCAGGCTTTAAAATACCCTGTGTTATAGGTGGCTCAGGGGTGAGGGGAAGAGTAGGGGCTACCCATTACCAACCTCTGATGGGTATCTGAATTTAGGAAGCCCCAGGGGAAAGCTAGGAAGGGTAGCCACTGTGTTGGCAGAGAGGTCCTGTTCAAGCCCTCCAAGACCATGCCCACAACTGGGCCTCCTTGCTCCTTGGCTCCAGAAGGCAGGCAAGGGAATAGGTGGAAGACAGCCTGGTCTGCGTATAGGAAGCTGCCAGGAAGCTTCCTTGAGTTATCTCATGCTGTCCTCAGACAGTAGCCTAAGACAGCAGCCTAGGCATTTCCAATGGGAGAACTTCAGTCTGAGCAGCTCCACAGCCAAGCATTTCCCCCACCCTTATACCCCTCCTGCCAATGCCCCCTTGAGTAAAGTTGAGCTACCAGTCCTCCTGCCAATTCCTTTCATATCAAAACTCTGGGGTCCCACACCAAGAAAAGAAGGAGGCAGCATTAGAGGGGAGAGGCCAGGGGCACGGAGGCACCCATTGAGTTAGTGCAAAAGCGGGCATGGCTCAGCCCTACCTGGGTGGCACTGGAAGTTAGGGGCATGCGGAAAGCCCAGGTCAGTGATTAGAAGGGGCGTTAGTGTAGGCCTAGTTGGCAAGCATGAAGTTAATTTGGCACAGAATTTGGGAGTGTGGTTTTGGGGGCCAGAGCAAAAGCTCCAAAAAAAACAAACAAAAAAAACCAATGGGTCAAAGAATTTTTAAGATCCTCAAAGTTGAGGGCAGGAGGAAGAAACTCAAAAAATCCAGAAGGAAAATTAAATTATTGGAAAAATACTGTCAGATCCAGAAATAGATGACCCCTCTCCACTTCAGAGCTTTTGGCACGGTGTTGGGCATCTGGGAGTGGCCCCTGCAGGCTGGCACGAAATCTGAAAGGGGCAGGGGCAGGAGCTAGGGTCACCTGGGACAGGAGGCTGCAGATCCTGAAGGCTCAAGGGAAGCAGAGGCCCGAGGGTCATCTCCCAAAGATCACAATGTAAGCACTTGTGGCATGCTTGGAGGGAGATGTTCTCCAGATGGTGGGACCCAAACTTGAATCACTCCCCAGTGTCAGTCCCTCGGGCTGTGCTCACTGCCCAAGAAGGGGCTTTCGCACTTCCTAGAAGGGCCATAAAGGGCCTAGGATGGCAGGCACCCAGAGGTAGCACACAGACCCAAACAGAGGAGACCCCAGACACCAGCCCAGCCCTTGGCAGTGCCCTCCAAGCTGGTACCTTCCACAGAGGAGGACAAGTCACCCTGTCCCTGGAAGGCCACAGAGACCACTTGTACTGCAGAATGGATGATGAGGTGAGGGGTGCAGGGCCCAAGAGAAGACGTTTCTCCTTCTCTCCCAGGCCACTGGTACCCAGCACTAAGCCGGGCCAGGTGTGGGTTACCTTGTCCCTCTCCTTCTGGATGCCTGTCTCCAAGGCCACCAGCTTCTCCTGCAGTTGATCCACTGCCTTCTGCTCCTTCTGCAGCAGTGCCCGCTCTGCCTCCCTCTCTCCCTGCAGCAGTGCTCGCTCCATTTCGGCCTGGGGGCAGACACCAGGGTCCCCATCAAAGCAGATGACTGTGGCCCCACTCTGGGGCCTTCAGTTGGCCTAGGGAAGAGTCTAGCTAGGGCCTTCATGGCTCACCTCTCGGGCTGACTCCTGCAGCTGCTGCTCTAGCTCCTTCACACGGACCTTGAGCTGCTCCACGCGCCCCAGCACCTGAGCCCGCTCCTCTTCCAGGGCTAGCACCTCTCCCTGGAGCTTGGTGCTAGGTGTGTCTTCATGCTGGAGGGGAGGGAAACTATCAACTGAGGAAGCCTAGAGCCTTTTGGAGTCAGACCAAGAAAATGGATCACCTGTTCCTCCACGCACTTGCTGAGGAATAGCTGGACTGAGACAGGAGGCTAATTCCCTGCCTCCCCCCACCCCCACCTTTGAGGGGAGCAATAAGGGCTCTGCTGAAGATAATAAAGATTTACCACTGAGTGCCAGGCCTGGGTGGAGCCCCATGGAAAGGCAGGTCATAAAGCATATTTATAGCTTGGGAAGCTCATCAACACCTCCCTTCTTTTCCTTGTCTCATTTCTGCACCTCTGCTCTCGAATCTCTTCCCAAACTTGATCCTTCTCCTCACTGGACCTTGGCATTCAATACACTAGCCTCCTCTGCCCCCAGCAGGTCCAACCTCAGCCTCTTTGTCTTGCCTACCCCTCCATCTCACCTCCTGCTGGGTGCTCTCAGTGCTGCTGCACTCCTCCTTGAGATTTTCCTCATCTGAGCGCTCCATACTCTCCCACAGGCGTTGGGTGGCAACTCCAGGCTCCTCGCTGCTCCGCCCAGAGGCCCCTACAAGGCCTCGTGAGGGCCTCCGGCCTGCCAGTGCCAATGCTATGGTGGCCTCCCCAATGCTGGGGAGCTCCCCGGCCTCAGATCCCCCATCAGCCCGGCTGTATTCGGCACATAGGTTCAGGATGGTCTCCAGGCGCTGGCGTTCCTGGGAAGGATGGACAGAGCAGGACATGAAGGGGAGGAAGCTGAGCCCTGGTGGGGATAGTGCCAGGTTCAGTATCCTGTCAGGAGGGAGAGCAAGGTTACTGGTGGCTAGGTCATCAGTGTCAAGTCAGGAGATGCCTGACTCCAAGACCTGGGGGAGGCAGAGGGAAATAGGGTGCCCCAGAAGTGGGCAGGAAGAACCAGGCTGTTGTGCCACCTGTCCACATGGCACAACAGCCTGGTTCTTCCTGCCCACTTCTGGGGCAGCCCCTTCCATCTTCCTGTTCCTTTCTTTTTTCAATCTACCCCAGGACAGGGCTTCCTCATGGACACAAAGGAACATACCAAACACATACGGAAACATACTGTTAAGTAGACTACAGACCACAATGAGACACAGATAAACTCGGGTGCTCGTCCTAATGCAGGTACACACAGAACTACAGACACAAGGACACACACTGACACACCAGCATTGATGCACAGGCACACAAGGACACAATATGTGCCCTGGACTTGCATTAATAAGCAGGTACAAAGACACCAGCCCTGACATGCACAAATGCACACTGATGCACACTCACAGATAAACACAGTCTAGCATACAGACAGGTGGGCACGTATGCAGACAGACAGGGCTGGAAAACAGACCCACAAGCCCACAGGGACCAGACACCCAAACACAGACACACATGGAGAAGAGGTAAACCAAGGACACGGCCTTCTGTCCCCACCTCAGCTCCAAGTTACCTTCAGGCAGCCCTTGGCTGTTTATCAGCAGGATGGGCTGCTACCAGTCCTTGAATGCCCAGGCCCATGAGTGAGTACTCCCATGGCCCTACCACTTCATCCACCCCTCTCCACATACACACCCACCCAGATACAGTCACCTCTCAGGGGCCTAGGAAGTAAAGGAGGGATGATACAATCGCATTCCTGGTCTTTGTTGCCTTCTCCTGCAGGCCTATCTATAGGCCTGAAGCCTGGCTTGTGAGGCTCCCATGGCTCTCTAGGGTCCCTAGACCTCCTCAAGTGTCTCTCACCACTTACAGTTTGGCCATGAACCCAAACCACAGGAAGTGGAGAGAAGGCTGGAGAGGCATTCTCATACACTTACCCAGCTTGCCTCCTGTTGCTTGCCCAGTTCCATGGCAAAAAAAAAAAAAACAGGAACAGAGCCTCGGCACCTGGGAGGCTGGGCCAGTGCCTCCGCCCCTGCCCCAGGACCCAGATAAGCAGCCTGGTTGAGGTGGGAGGGGCAGGGCGGGCAGCCTCCAAGACTTAAAGTGGCAGGTGAGGCAGGTCAGGACTAGTGGTAAGATGTGTGCTTATGTGTGGGAATAGGGGTGGGGAGACTGATGGAGGAGTTGGGGGAGGCTGTGCCTGCCACTCTGCCTGTGCCAGGCTTACTGCCCCCTCTCCAGGATGAGACCCCAGCTTAGAATGGCCATGCATTCCCATCTAGACCAATGCAAAAACAGTGAAGAGAAGATGCAGCAGGCCAGGCACGGTGGCTCAAGCCTGTAATCCCAGCACTTTGGGAGGCCGAGACGGGCGGATCACGAGGTCAGGAGATTGAGACCATCCTGGCTAACACGGTGAAACCCCGTCTCTACTAAAAAAAATACAAAAAGACTAGCCAGGCGTGGTGGCGGGCGCCTGTAGTCCCAGCTACTCGGGAGGCTGAGGCAGGAGAATGGCGTAAACCAGGGAGGCAGAGCTTGCAGTGAGCTGAGATCTGGCCACTGCACTCCAGCCTGGGTGACAGAGCGAGACTCCGCCTCAAAAAAAAAAAAAAAAAAAAGAGAAGATGCAGCAAAGGAAAAGACGGAATCTGCCTCATCTCACCCCTATCCAACACAAACACACAATCCTATACCCTCATCCAAAACTGTCCCAACCTCTTCCAAAAGCATCTCCAGATGCTTCAGTTCTGGTTCTCATCAGTTCTGATTCTCCTCCTCAAACCAGTCCCAGGGTTCCTGCTCACCTCCCAAAGAACCCTGTTCTGCTTGCAAGGACAGAGGGCAGAATCCATTCTTCTGTACATGGGCTCGACTGTGTACACACCAGCCAGAGCCCCTTAAGCTCCCTGAGTTATCTGGGGAATCCGGGCCCTGACCCAGCTCAGATGCCATCTCCAGGACAGCTGCCTAGAGCCACACCCGGCCCCTGCACACACCCACACGCATGCACACGGACACACACAGTCACAATTACAGAGGCTGGCTAACGGTCAGGCCAGGGTTGCCTATCCTGCTCTGTCCTTCTTCCCTGCCACCCACACTCCTAGATGATACTGCCTGGGCCAGGGTGAGCAGCTCCCACCCACTTGTAGATGCCAAAGAGAAGCAAAAAAGGACAAGGTACTTTTCTAAAAAAAAGTCTTAGAGTCAGGAGACTTGGGTTCCAATTCCAGCTCTCCCAGAACTTGCTGTGTGACCTTGGACAAAGCCATTCCCCTCTCTGAGCTTCAGCCTACTCAACCTACTTCAACCTGCTTCTCAAACTGGGAGGTTCAAGGTCTTACCATACCTGTGGGATGTTTTCCTAGAGCTTCACTGTGCTTGAGTAAACAATGTGAAATTTAATTTATACATTAAAACAAATGCTATGTTGAATAAATGCAAAATTAGCACGAATTTAAAACAAAGCCTTAGAGATTTCAAAAGAATTTCTTCTTCAGGGCACCAGAACCATAAGATATTGATCACTAAAGTGTATTCTGGAGGTGGGGTACCTTGAGAAGCCCAAGCCCTGTTTGAGGGCCCCTCCCGCTCTGCCAGCTGGTCTGCTCAAGCCCTGGCAGAGACTCTGCCATGGACAGTGGCAAGCCTCCCTGGCACCTGCTCACCAGCCTCTCCATCTCCTGCTCCCGGAGCCGCTCTTGGCGCTGTCGCCGGTGGTACTCCAGGAGGTCGTCCTCATTGTCACTGATCTCTGTGATGCTATTTTTCCGCTCCCTTGTGACAGGCACCCGCAAGTCCCCGCTGGAGAGCTTCCTCTGGACACAGGGACTTTGGCAGGGTGAAGCCCCAGTAAGAGAGCCCAGACTGTAGGCTGGGCTCAGCCTGCCACTGAAGCTGCCCTTGCGGGGTGCCAGAGACTCACCCAGTGTGGGTGAGGGGCTCCGTGTCCTACGGCCCCGTGCCCCCAGAGTCAGGGAGAAGTCCTCTGGTGAAGCCCCATGGGCTGCCCAGCGCCGGGGCCGAGGACTCTCTGCCACTTCCCTGCTTAGCTTGGGATCTGGGGTGGTCCGGGTGGGCAGTGGGGAGAGGGCTCGCCGGGACAGAGATGGACTTAAGGGGGGTAGTTCTCGCATACTGTCCAGGCCCCGCCGGCCCAGGCGGGGACTCTCAGGAGGCTGCAGGGTACGGGTGGCTAACCCATCTGAAAATGTTCGGCCCACTAGTTGGCGTGAGGGGCTAGTTGTTAGCACCCGCTCACTGCCTGGAGGCTCACGGAAAGGGCTGGGAGGGCGGTCCTGGAGTGTGCCAATCTTGTTTCGGGGAGCAGGGACTGGAGGCTGGAACTTAGGGCTGCCAGGAATGCTGGTGGGTTGACTGAGAGCACCAGAAGCTGGGTATTCACTCAGGCTGATGGCCACCACAGGCAGCTGCCCACCCAGCCGGGGGCTCTCAGTGGCTCTCCGGGCCTCCGCCAACACAGTAGCTGCAGGGCTGTCTGTTAGCAGACCCCGGAGGCCAGGGCTGGGAGGCCTCTCATGGCCCCCTTTCCTGCTCAGCCGAGGACTCTCAGAGCGAGCACCACTTGGGCGGGACTGTGGGGGCTGCAGGGCCAGATGGTAGCTGGAGGAACGGGCAGGTACCAGCGGGGGCACAGAAGGTCCTGGCTCTTGCCCACTGGGTGAGTGACTGGCACAGCTTCCACTGCTGGCTGGTGAAGAGAGTGGAGAGAAGGCTGGAGAGGTGTTCTCATAGCTGGAGCCCACAGACATGGCACCAGGGCTGGTTGGGGGAGACAGCAGGTAGCGCCCACCATTAGCCATCGGCGACAGTGGAGAGGTTGTGGCAGGCTTCTTGCCAGCAGCTCCAGGCTCCTCTAGCACCAGTGAGTCCATGATCTCTTGCAGGTCCTTCTCAATAGAGCTTACCAGGGAACTGTGGCTGGCACAGGCCGAGGGTCCCCGTGTTGCAGGCTGTGGGGTGTGGATCCCATTTACCAGACTTTCTGATTCTGCTGGAGGGAAATGCAAAGGTCTTTGACTTTGGGGAGCTGCATATGCATAAGAGCCAGGGCGCTAGCCCACTTCCTCCTAGCACAGTGAGACTAACAGAGCTCTGGAGAAGACGCCAGGAGATCTGGTTCTGGTACCAGCTAGCTCTGCCACTGACCTGCTATGCAACCTTAGCCAAGTCACTTGTCCTCAGTTTCTCCTTCTGTAAAGGAAGGGAATTGGCAGGGCCTTCCTGCCTGTGACTTAAAACAGTTAACAATGATAGGCACTCTAAGCCTATTGTTGTCAATTCACCCCAAGACTAGACTTCTCCAATCTATATCCTATATCCCTCCTCAAGAAGGGCAGGTAGGCCAGGCACAGTGGCTCACACCTGTAATCCCAACACTTGGGGAGGCAAAGGTGGGCAGATCACTTGAGGACAGGAGTTCAAGACCAGCCTGGCCAACATGGTGAAACCTCACCTCTACTAAAAATACAAAAAATTAGCTGGGTATGGTAGCACACGTCTGTAATTCCAACTACTCAGGAGGCTGAGGTACGAGAATCACTTGAACCCAGGAGGCTGCATTGAGCTGAGATCACTCCTGCCTCCTGGGTGACACAGCAAACTGTCTCAAAAAAAAAAAAAAAAAAAAAGAAGAGGCCAGGCATGGTGGCTCACACCTGTAATCCCAGCACTTTGTGAGGCTGAAGTGGACGTATCACCTGAGGTCAGGAGTTTGAGACCAGCCTTGCCAACATGGTGAAACCCCATCTCTACTAAAAATAAAAAATTAGCCAGGTGTGGTGAAACGCACCTGTAGTCCCAGCTACTTGGGAGGCTGAGGCAGGAGAATCACTTGAACCCAGGAGGTGGAGGTTGCAGTGAGCCGAGATCGCGTCACTGCACTCCAGCCTGGGCGACAGAGTGAGGCTCCATCTCAAAACAAAAAAAAAGAAAAAAGAAGGGCATTATACAAAGAAGATGCTGCAGAGCTGGCCAGAAGTTTCAGGGGCTCCTAGTCTAATAGGACGTCAGGGCCTCCCACCATAGGAACCAGAGGCCCAGGATTAAAAAAAAAAAAAAAGAAAAGAAAAAGAAAAAGCCTCCAGGGCCAGGCGAGGGGTGTGTCTTCATCCAATCAGAGGTAGGGGAGGGAGCTGGTGCTAATGGCTGGTTCCTGGAAGCCAGGCTGCCAGCAAGGAGGTGAAGCTCAGTGCCTCCAATTATCCCATTAAGCCATGCCAGCAAGAGCCTGCTTTTGCCATGCCTCACCCCTAGTCAACCATACAGGAGTCCCTGGAACCACTGCCCCAAACAGCTAAGGGAGTGACATGACAAGGCTGGGGTGAGGGCAGGGTAAAATTAACTAGGGAGTAGACTGGGAAACCAGGCTTCTGAGCCCCCAGAGGACTGGAAAAGATTGAGGGTGGGGAGAAGAGAAGAGAAAGACTTTGCAAGACTGAGTCTGGGTCCAAAATTATGGGGACTGTGTGGGATATAGTCAGAGGGGTTGCCATGGATACTGGTAATCCCAGTGACCACTCACCTTTCTTCAGGTCCCCAGGCTATCCACTTAGGCTGCTGATACCACCCCCATAGGTGTACCTGACATCCATGTCCATCTGCCCCAGCACCTGTCACCCCATAGCCATCTAAATGCCAGCGCAAAGTCTGAGATGGTAGACCCAATAATAGCCTCCTGGTCTGCATCCCACCCCCTATGCAGCTGGGCTGAGGGGGCCTGTGTTGGTTCCCCAGAACAATCACCAATTCTCTTCTGGGGATCAATAATTCACACACAAAATACAGCTGCTCCACTGAGTCATCAGCGGGCAGGGCATGGAGTGAGGGTTGGGCGAGGCCCAAGGACATGATCCCCACCACAGCTTACAGGGAGTTCAACCTAATGCTTCCTTCTGCCCCTCAGGACACCCTAGAGGGTGAGGCTCCCTGTGGTGACACAAGTGGGCCAGAGTTCTAGACACTGAGTGGCAACCTCCAGGGCAGTGGGGTACAAGCTGGCAGAGCCCACCATCCCTCGAGACACATAATTTCCCAGTTTTAGCTAAGTAGCACTGCCTTGGTTAGCTCTCAGTGGTCCCACTGCCTGGCATTCTCCACCAGCCCATGGCCAGTGGCAGTGAGCCCAGACCTTAGGTACTGTCTTGCCCTAACACTGCAAGTGTGGCTGAAATAAGCAAGGAGGACTGCTGAAGGAACACCACCAACCCAGCCCCCTGCGTCGCCCCCACTCTGGTACCTACCAGGAACAGGGCTGTAGGGGGGCCCAGGGGCTCGGCCCCCTGCTGGAATCATGCTTTTCATCCACTTGGCTTCAGCTGGGTGGTTAAAGCGAAGGAAGGTGGACTGACCCAGGCACAACATGCAGCCTGCAGAGAAAGCAAACACTTGAAGACCGGGTGTAGTGGCTCACACCTGTAATCCCAACACTTTCAGAGGCAGAGGCGAGTGGATGACCTGAGGTCAGGAGTTCGAGACCAGCCTGGCCAACGTGGTGAAATCCCATCTCTACTAAAAATACAAAAAATACAAAAATTAGCCAGGTGTGGTGGTGGGTGCCTGTAGTCTCAGCTACTCAGGAGGCTGAGGCCAGAGAATTGCTTGAACCCAGGAGGCAGAGACTGCAGTGAGCCGAGATCACGCCACTGCACTCCAGCCTAGGTGACAGAGCAAAACTCCGTCACACACAGACACACACACACACAAAAATGTTCAGCGAACACCGACACCCCTGTCCCCCAACCCCAACCTGTATGCATGATCCATCTATCTGCCCCTTGGGGAGAAGGGTAGAAGAGTCAGTCTGAGAGGCAGCAACTTCCAGGGTCACACAAAAAAGCTCTGAGATAGGGAACAAGGGGAAAAACCATAGATCAGTCCGATGACCTGGGGGGGGGTCCTGAATTTGCTCCCACTCTTTATTGTTTTGTGACATTAGGAGAGCTGTGTGCTGCAAGTCTAGGGAGCGATCACCACCTTTCTTTCTGACTAAGCACCCTCTGCATGCTCCCTGGTCTCCCCTGGCATCAGGCCAAGACTAGGCCATGGGCCCGGCCTCAGCCAAGCACATTCCCGGGCAGTACACACAAGCTCAGTCCTGCCCAGGAAGTGTGAGCACCTGGAGGGGGAGGGCATGTGGGAGCTGGAAAATGTAGCCAGGGGCACCAGGAGTGTGCACAGTGGCAGGTGTGCCTACAGGCGTCTAAGTGTAGCTGGCAGAACTCCACCTCCCAGCCACACCAGGTGCTGGCGGGCTCCCGCAGAAGATACTATATTGGGAGAAGCCAGAGCCCTGTTGTTCTCTACCACCAATCCTTCCAATTTGTCCACACCCCTGGCCCCCGGTCTCAGCCTCCTATCTACCCAATCTGGTGCCACTTGGCACCCCAAGCTTCACGTCAGTCTAAGACTGGCAGAGGAGTCTACATTCCTGGACGCTGAGACAGTTCAGCTCAGGCAGGCCACAAGGGCAAGGGGCATCCCAGGCCACGTGGGTACCTTGGTAGGTCCCTAACTAAGAAGCTCAGGAGCCTGTTCTTGGGATCTTGGGCATAGCTTGGGTTGGGGGTTTAGTAGGCTGAGAAGCCCATGGCAGATAACCATAGTGGATAAAGTCACTCACTATCCTGGCATACACAAAGGCCCTCCCAGGTAGCCAGACACCAACAATTCTAAAGGAGAGATAGGGAGCCTTCCCTGCCAAGTCACCAGTCAGAGAAGAGGATCCCACAGTATTCATAACTGGAATAAATGATAGCCAACCACACTGTCCACATCTTAATTACAACCACAGCTGTTTCAGAAAGAGCCCTGTCAAGCCCCTCCCCCTCCTTTTAGCCATTTAACAAGCTTATTAGTGATGAGTTAACAGGGTCTAGACAGACCCACTCAACCCAGGGTCATGGGTGGTGGGGATCAGGAGCCTGACCACACAATCCAGGCCGGGAAGGAGGTGGGGAGTCTGAGTGGATTCCAGTCCAGCAGTGCCAGGCCCACCCGAGTAGGATGTAGGCATCTAGGGATCCTTCGCTTGGGCCCCTATAGCTGTGTGTTTTCTGCCCCCTCCTCAGCCCTTCACCCTCCCCCACATAAGGGGGTGTGGCCGTGCTGCCTCTGGGCTATAAATAGTGATGCCAGGCACCAGAGCTGGATCCGTATTAATAGAGCAGGCAGGAGGGCAGCAGGACCGAGAGCAACCCAGCTCCTGCCCAAATTAACTTTCTATTTGCATGCAGAAGCTTCAGGCATTGCCCTAGTGCTGGCGCCTACAGCCCCTAGGGGTCTGGCCGGCCTGTTTCTGGGAAGAAGCCTCCTCTCTGCCCACTCCCACCCCACACCCCCAAAGGCCAGCCCTTTCAGGGAGCCCAGGAAACCCTGCCCATCCTGCCAAAGTCATGGTCAGTGTCCCCCATGCCCAGAGGGGATCAGGGTCCAGCTGTGTGCAGGTGGGTGGAGGAGCTGCACATCTGGAGGGGAAAAACTAGGCGAAGGAGAGGGTGAATCCTATCTGTGAGAGATGCAGAGGAGAAACACCAACACAAACAGGCTCACACTCATACACACTCATAGTAACACAACAGACTCATGGGCATACATGCTCACACACTCTCAGAGTACTGTCACTGCCTTCCTGGTCACACAAATAGAGTGGACTGGCCAAAGGGAGACCGAGTGAAGGGAATATGGGAGGAAGGGCCTTGGTCCTTCCTATCAGAGACCCTCCTTAGCCATAAGGTAGACTCCCCTCATTCTGACCAGGACCCTTTAACCTCATCTGAGGGAGGTGAGTCCTAAGGAGGGGACTGCGGGAGCGCTGGGGAAGATAAGGTCTACCGACTGAGAAGTGCCCCCAAGCCCAGAATCCCCATTTAGAAATGTTCAGGGAACACACACAATCAAGTCTCTCCGCCTCAAGCTCCCAAAGAAGGTCAGAGGACCCCATGCCCCTCCTCCCGCCCACCCTCCTCAAGACGCCCCTCCCAGCCTGAGCTTCTCCAAGCTTGGCGGCTTGGGGGCTGTGGCTGGCGCGGAGCTGAGGACTCACCGCCGAAACCGGACCTCCGGACCGCTCGCCCCCGCTAGCTCGGGTCCTCCAGGTCCCGGGCCCGCCCGGGGCCTTTGAGGGGGCGGGCCGACCTCCCGAGCCGCCGGCTCCAGAATCGGAGCGAGCAGCGAGGCAGCTAGCAGCCGCCAATGCCCGGGGAGGGGCGGGCCGGCCACCAGCGGCGGGGGAAGGGAGCCAGGGAGGGAGGGACAAAGGAGAGGAGGGGAAGAGGAAGTGATGGAGGAGACGAGTGGAGAGCTGGATGGAGAGGGCGGGGCGGGAGGATGCAGAAAGGCAGCCGGCTTGGGATCCTGGACCCGGGGCAGGAAGAAAAGGGGGCGGGAAGGAAAGGTTCAAGGGAGGTGACTGAGTGAAGGAAAGGTGAGAGGTAAGTACAGAGGCCAGAGAGTGAAGAGCCAGGAGCCAGGAGTGAGGCCAAGCAAAGGACAGGGTCTCATTCCCAGTCCCCTGTGGTAAGAGGTCAGTGGTAGCCGGGCTGGCCGGCTCTAACTGGCTGTAGTACCTTGGGCCAGTCACACCCTCTGGCCTTGGCTTCCTTATCTACAGAAAGTGAGCTCTGACATTCCATGTCCATATCTGAGGGAGAGAAGGAGAGGAAAAGAGCAGGGGCTCTACAGGTCCAGCTAGGTCATTAGGTCCTGCTCTGGCCCTTAGGCTGTCACTGTAACAAGATCACCCTGGGCTAGGAGTTCAGGCCAAAGCAGTGCTCTGTGCAATGCAAGCACTCAGCCCACCTCCTGTCTCCACCCTAAACTCCTTCTCTTCTGGCCCCACTCCCCGTAGCCCAACCCATGACCCAGAGTGGACCAAGGCACTGCCCTTTCCAGCCAGCCAACTTCCTGGGCCCCGGAAGCCAGCCCGCACCCCAGCCACAACCTCCAGTTGTGCTAGACCCAGCAAAGAGCCCTCCGACCCCAATAAGGTACCCATCCTACTTGGGAAACAGATATCTGGAGCCCCCAAAGTCAGGCTGAGATTCTGAGTCAGGCAGGTGTTTTGTTTTGTTTTGTTCTGTTTTTTTGAGACGGAGTTTTGTTCTTATTGCCCAGGCTGGAGTGCAATGGCGCAATCTCGGCTCACTGCAACCTCCACCTCCCGGGTTCGAGCGATTTCTCCTGCCTCAGCCTCCCATAGCTGGGACTGCAGGCATGCGCCACCACACCCAGCAAATTTTGTATTTTTAGTAGAGACGGGGTTTCTCCATGTTGGTCAGGCTGGTCTCGAACTCCCAATCTCAGGTGATCCGCCCGCCTCAGCCTCCCAAAGTGTTGGGATTACAGGCATGAGCCACCGCACCCAGCCCAGGCAGGTATTAATACCTACCATCCAGCCAGGTCCCCCAGTTCCTCTTGTTTCAGGGACCTGGCCCCTGCACACCAGAGACTTACGGGACACAATGTTGTATGCTCTCAGCAGGCAGCTCACACAGCCTGACACAGTGTCTCTCAGATACACACCAACACTTGCTCAGTCACGCTGACACTACTTCATCTCTGCATGCTCTGAGTCACACAGACACCCTCATTAAACACACTGTCTGTCTCTCACACACCTTTATTCTCATGCACACATCCCCCAGACAACTCCTTTTAGTTACACACTCACCCAGGCATAGCTTTCCTTTCACTCAGTCCCTGGAGAAAATCTGAAATAAAATCAACCTCTTAGATGAATAATCAGGCAAGTTTTCCATTCTTGCTGAACAGCCCACTAGCTCACTCACCCATGCTGCCAACTATGTGCATACACATGCACACGCTCACGTGTGCACACGTATCTTATTCCCTTCTGAGGAAAAAGGAAGAACCATATAGGGTCAAATGCAAAATGAAGGGAGGCTTAAAAAAAAAATCTCCTCAGGAAGAGTGATTCATCGGTCTGGAAACTGTGATGGCCAGCTGGACAGACCTAGGCAGACACAGAGGATGCCCGCCAATGAGAAATAGGGCAGGAGGCAGACACAAAGAAGTGGGAAGCTGGGAGCCTTCGCTCTGCCCTCCTTCCTTTGAGCTTTATTAGTCAAGATTGTTATCAGTCTCATAACAGAAAAAGGTTGAAGGCTTCACTCCCAATTTACAGATGGAATAACTGGGTGGGAAAAAAAAGAGGTTCAATATCCTGGATCCCAGAGAGAGGCAGCTAGATAACCCAGAGATCCGGCTCCCCAGCCACACTCCTCTGCCGGCCCCCACATAAGCCCCTACCCACCAATGAGAGGCTTAGGGAATGAAGGAGACTGGAGACCAGTGCTCGGAGGAAATGCTAGGAGTGGATGGGGACCTACTGTCTAGACAGCCTGGGCCCTGAGCTGGTGGCTTTCTGGGTCCTCCCCTGCTTGGTTCCCTCCCAGATCTTTCATGTGGTCTGGCGCTGTGGTCTCAGGGTGGGGCAGCCTAGACGCAGATTGAGATTCCTCCTCATTCCCTTGGTCCTATTCCGAGCTCCACCCCTTGCTCTGTAGAGAAGAGGGCAATGTGGGATGTGCCAAGATGCCTGGGTACAGGGGGTGGAATCAGGACCTTCCTGGCTCCTTCACTTCATGCTCCTATGTTCACAGCTCTGTGCTAAAGGTTGGCATCTGTTTTCTGCCCGCCTCCCCCTTTCCCTGGCCCAAGCATATTCCTGCTGGAAGAGCCTGTCACTGCCATCTCTGCTTGTCATGAAGTGTGTCTCTCCAAGTTGCCTATGGCTGGGCACAGTGCCCAGAATGATGCATCTAAGGCCAAAGTAGGCTCCTTGTTATTCCCAGGGTAGCCCTTGTTTTTCAAAGAGGAGGGTCGCCTCTACAAGACCAGATTAGGGGAACAAGGAAAGGAAAATGATCCTCTTGTACATATGCCAACAGATAGGCATATGACCAGTGAGGTCTCATATACACATAGGAGTACATACAGAGACATTTTGGTACCATCAGTCCTGAGTTCACCCCTACCGCCCACTTGAACACACTGATCCATAAATACAAAGAAAGACACAAACACAGAGATTCGTAAGTCCAGAGTCACAAACACATCCGGAGCTACATAAACACACTCCAGTTACACAGACACACAGAGATAGCACATGCACCCCCGAACCACCCAGTTTCCAGGGAAACACACTCCCAAGAATGTCCGGAGTGGGGCCAGGCAGGGCTGGGCTTGGTGCCTTGCTCCAGAGATGAGACAAGGAAACCCTCAGCTCCTGGAGCCCAGGGGAGGGGGAGGACTGGGGAGAAGAACACCCATTCCTTTGTGCCTCTGCCTACCCCTCCATAGGCTGCCAAGCTTTGGAGACAGGCAAGCCCAGACAAGAAGGCTATGGGGGATGGGGAGAGAAAATGGGAAGGGGTTTAGGGTCAGAAGAGAGTGGGAGGGTACATACTTGGCTGGGTAGGCTTCTGGCTGGAGAAGAGTCGGGAGGGGTCACTGGGGCCACAGGAAATGCCTCAGAATTCCATCTTGGCCCCAGGCTCTCCCTCTTCTCAGGGAGCTAAATGATGCACCGGAAAGAATGAACAACACAAGCACACCCTGCTCGCAACATGCAGGGGAACAACGTTCTTACCGATGAATGTGATGGGTTTGGGGCGGGGGTAGTAAGTGCTGAGCCTTCTTTGAATTTTGTCCTGCCTCTCCTTGCTGCTCTACTGTCTCATCTCCATGCTCCCAAATCTTAGAGAAGATGCTGTCTCTGAGACTGAACAGGACTGTTAGGAACCTGCTGCCATCGTAGCCAAGCTCCAATTTTGGTGGATTCCTTCTCTCATCCAAAGTCAGAGACCGTGAAGTCCTCGAGAAGGCAAGGGCCTGCATGCTGCTACTGGTGGACCTGCCTCCCTGAAGTCAATTTTTGCATGCCCTGCCTCCTACCCGAGGGCAGGAAGAAAAGACTGGGGTTAAAAAAAAAAAAAAAAAAAATTAGCCGGGTGTGGTGGCAGATGCCTAATCCCAGCTACTTGGGAGGCTGAGGCAGGAGAATCATTTGAGCCTAGGAGGTGGAGGTTGTAGTTAGCCGAGATCGTGCCACTGCACTCCAGCCTGAGCAACAGTGCGAGACTCTGTATCAAAAAAAAAAAAAAAAAAAAAAGATGGGGGAAAGGTCAGGTCTCCTGAATCAGCTGTGAAGGAAGTGACATTGAAAGGCCTTAAGGAGGATGAAGAGGAGAGAAGGAGACAGTGGAACGAGTAGGATGGCCACTTCCAAGGGGCTTCTAGGCAGTAAGAGCCCCCAGAAAACAATGCTAGGCCATCAGAACCTGCTCAGAGCCAGGCTTAGCCCAAAGTTCCTGTCCTCCTGTTAGCCTTTAACCTCACCTCTAACCTCCACCCAAATCTGTTTTTCTCATTCTCCTAATCTGACAACTCACTGTATGAACTGATGCCCAGAACCCTGTTTCCAGGGTGAGTACACCTGGTCTGTCGAAGTGCCACCTGGGCCAACTGCTTACCTGCCTGCTAACCATAGTAATCAGTGGCCTAGATTTTATTTATTTATTTATTTATTTATTTATTTATGTATTTATTTATTGAGACAGAGTCTTGCTCTGTTGCCCAGGCTGGGGTGCAGTGGCGCCATCTCATCTCACTACAACCTCTACCTCCCAGGTTCAAGCGATTCTCCTATCTCAGCTTCCTGAGTAGCTAGGACTATAGGTGCGCGCCACCACACGTGTCTAATTTTTGTATTTTGGGTAGAGATAGGGTTTCACCATGTTGGCCAGGCTGATCTTGAACTGTCCTCAAGTGATCCACCCGCCTTGGCCTCCCAAATTGCTGGGATTACAGGCGTGAGCCACCATGCCCAGCCAGGGGCCTAGTTTTTAGAGCCACCTCACACAACAGAAGGCCTATTGCTTTGGGTTATATTCGTGACCCAAAAGCTACTGTCAGCAGTCTCATAACAGGAGCAGGCATGTCCTCAGATTTCACCCTTGCCCCATCCCCATCAGAAAGTATTGTTCTCCTCTTCAGCTTCACAAAACAACTTCCTCTTGGCATCATGGAACAATGCCATTGATACCCTCTCACTGCTGCTCCAATTGCTCTTCCCCAACAACCACTAACAATCCCATCATGCCCCAGGCCCTCTGATGGCGGGAATCAGAACCTCTTCTCTCCCTATAGTATGTGGAGGCAGGTTGGGGGTGACCAGAGAAGAAAAGCAGGTTGAAAACACGTCTGGATGCTGAGATGGTTTAGTATGTTGTTTAGGCACATCCAGATGCACCTGAGTACTCCATTCCCAGTATGGGCACTCAGGCAGTTGCCATGGCAACCACTACAGCCAGTCTCCCCTGTGCCTAACACATACAAGCCTTTAAACAGAGGCCCCTTCCATCTGGAGGTGTCCAGCCTTACCCTGAGTGAGCCGGGTAGGCTGCCGGACAGGGAGACCATCAATAGTGCAGGCATTGCCACAGGGGTAGAGGGTGAGGGTGCCCCGCAGGTTCTCGATGTAGCAGTGCTCTGGAGCCAGGCCTGGGCCCTGTAGTGAGATGTCTCTGGCTGCAGAGCCAATCACCGTCCTCCCTGGAGACAAGAGGCAGACTGAATCAGAAGGGTTGTCCAAGCTGAGGAGGCAGTGACAGGGCAAGGAGGGCCACAGTGGAAACATATTCCACCTCCTACTCCAGGGAGAATCTCTGCCCACCATTGGCCACCCCTACTGGACCCCTGAGCCTGGTCTATACAGTAAGTGATAGAAGCTCTTCTCAGAGAAAACTCTGCCTGAGAATGGGAGGCCCAGAGATGGGAAGACCCAGACTCCACAGATGGAGAAGGAAGATTGCTTTTCTGCAGATCCTCCCTTATTCCCCCAACTGCCTCTCCCTCTTGTCCTTGTTTCTTTTTCTCCTTCAGCCTACTCCTCCTTTCTTCTAAATCTCCCTTTCTCTCCTTCTCTCCCCCGCTTCTGCTACCTGCAACACTTCATCTCCCTCGCTAACCTCTCTGTTCAGTGCAACCTCTCTTCAGTGCAGGCTCTCCCCTAACTGCAGCAAGAACAGCCCCTCCCACTGACAGAGCCCCTGGGACTGGTATTTGGAGAATGTGGAGAATGTAGTATCACCCAGGCAACAAGTGCAGCCAGGAGAGGAGAGAGGGCGGGCAGAAGCTGAAAGGTGAAGGGGGCCGTGCCAGGGCCTTATCTTGGGAGATCTTGCCCCCAACTCCCATCTCTCCATTCTCTACCTACGGTATAGCCTCCTGTGCAAGCCAATGCCCTGGAGTGGGGCCCTTTTTCTTCTTGGCCACATTGGTTGCTAAGAGCAATGTGTTCTCCTGTTTCTCTCAGTGCTCTCTTCATGGTTTCTTTTCTTCTTCTTCTTTTTTTTTTTTTTTTTGTGATGGAGTCTCGCTCTGTTGCCCAGGCTGGAGTGCAGTGGCACGATCTCGGCTCACTGCAACCTCCGTCTCCTGGCTTCAAGTGATTCTTCTGCCTCAGCCTGCTAAGTAGCTGGGACTACAGGCCCGTGCCACCACCAGCTAATTTTTGTATTTTTAGTGGAGACAGGATTTCACCATATTGGCCAGGCTGGTCTAGAACTCCTGACCTCGTGATCGGCCCACCTCAGCCTCCCAAAGTGCTGGGATAACAGGCGTGAGCCACCACACCCGGCCTCTCCTCGTTTCTAAGCTGATCTTTAAGCCCACTCATGGAACCAGATTATCTACCAAGGAAGGCAGGCAGTCTGGGGAGGCAGAGAGAAGGGAAGCAAGCTGGTGGGGTGGGGAGGCAAGCATTGCCAGCAGACAGTAGAAGGGCCCCAACACATGCAGGAGCTGGGCCTCCAGGGCAGGAATGCCTACAAGGATAGAGGGGTGACGAGTGAGATGCCCTGTTCACACTTACCTTCCTCCAGCGGCAGGAGGGTGATGGCTGTGCTGAGTCGCCCACTGCCCAGGCTCACCAGGTGGGGTTTGTCCGTTTGCACTTTCAGCCCTTTGCCTGTCTCGATCAGGTCCAAGGGTCCTTTCTGTAGGTAGTAGGGGTGGAGGACAAGCATCATTAGACTCAGCACCTTACCACCCTAAACCAGTCACACCAGTACTCTCTCCAGCCCTTGCCCCTCTCCAAAGGGCTCTGAGGGTGCTGAAAGGCTTAGCACAAAATCTTACACAGAGCATTATTCCACTACATTGTAATTAGATCTGAATCTAGGCCACTAACTCGTCCCACTGGATTTATCTCAAGTCTTGGCTTAACTGTCCCTTTTGTCTATTAAAACAGAAGCAAGGAGAAAGCGGTGGGGGGTGGGGGTGGCATTGGATAAGCAGCAGGGGTACTGTAGAGGAAGGCCAGTCGAGCTCCCTGCAGACTTGTCCATGGCTATCCACTTGGCCATTGCTTGCCCCTGCTAATCTCAAGTACAGGGAAGGTAGAGGCATGGATCAAGGAGAGTGATACAGCCTAGGGTCAATCTGTAAACTGCTTTCTGACTTTCGACGGGTACTTTCTGGGTGAACCAATTAACCTGATTCAGATAAAGACTGAGCTGTTAATAGGCTTGGGACCTGGGGAAGGGCAGAGAGGAACAGAATTGCTCCTTTCGTCCTTGGGCTGGGACCACAAGGGGGTAGAAGAGCTGATCCCATCCCCACCATATCTCTCTTGCCTCACAGCCCTGATCCCACTCACCTGCACCATGGTCTGGGTCTTGCATCCAGGGCCTATTTGGTTCCTGTTGAGAGTGTCCATGGTCCTAAGGCTCCAGAGCTCCTAGGGACACAGCAGAAAGCTGGTGAGTGGGGAGGCCAGGGCAGGAGAGGGAAAGAAGTAGGTTCCGTGGCAGAGTTCTCAGGGCAGAGGTAGCACCAGTCACCAACATTCCCCAAATGCTCATGCTGAAGGGAAGTAGAGGCAGCTAAAGAGCTTGGGTGGGAGTTGTCTGGGAGCAGTGCCAAGTCTCCAGCCAGCCACAGCATGGATACTACACCATACCAGTCCTGCCTCTTGCCAGTGTAAGCACAAACAGTCCTATAGGGCTCAATCTATACCTCTGTGCTTTCTTGCCCTATGCTACTCAGAACCCAGATTTTGACAGCTGAAGACCCTTGGCCATTGTGGAGCCTTAAGCAGGGTGGGGAAAATCTACCTTAGTGGGAGAAGCAGCAAGGAGGCCCCTCCAAGGACACTGGTAGCCAGAGGGCCCCCAGGTAGGTGGCAGGGCTAAAACAGGAGCTCCCTCCTGAAATCTTTCATTCTCCTCTTCACCGTTTGTCTCTTTTCCCAGGGCTTTAGTAGGATGTTTTCTTAAAGGAGACACAAAAGAAAAACTCAGCCATTCCTGCTATCTCCAGATGTCTCAACTCCTACACCTTTTCTTCCCCAGGAAGCAACCTCAACCCAACACAATCAGTTAAAAAAAATTTTTTTTAATTAAAAGCAAAAAACTTTAGTGATAACTAATACTGGGAATATTGGGCTCTTAACTCTTGGGTTCTTAATTGGCTAGGTGCTATAGGAAGCTTAGACCATTAGAACCAGGAGTAAGACAGATTCCAGAGCCAGAACTTGAATCCTCCCCACCACCACCCCACTGCCTCTCACCCACCACCCATCCCTCTCTCCCTGGCTCATGTTTTTGGTATTTGGGATGTGAGGACATTTGTGTACTAATGTGTGCCCCCATGCCCATCCCTTGGCCAACTAGCTAAGCTGAGAAACTTCCCACTTGCTGCTGAAATGTTCCTGGGGAAAGCTAAGAGTGTGACTGAGGGGTAAGGAAGCAGACCCAGGGAAGCAGGGTTTCCCTCCACTCTCTCTTCAAGCCATCTACCAGGGGACTTGGAAAGGAAGTAGGGGCAGCAGCCAGCATTCCAAGGAGTGTCTGACCCTGGCAGTGGGTCCCGAGGACCTTAGCTATGGTGTTACTAAATTTACCCTCCCAGCTTCCACCCTTCCGGACCTGGACTGCATCATCTCCGTCACCATTTCCACCCAAGCTGGCGGAAGAGAGGCCGGAACCCAGGCTGGGGCCCACCCCAAGACTGCCAGGGAAGAGAGGAGGAAAACGCCATTAACCTACGCAAAGCCCCAAGTTGGTCTGGCACCTTCCCAGAATTCCTTGCCATGGAGAAGAATTTCCAAGGACAAAGATTGCTGTACTGCTTCCTTAGACTCAGGGAAATCCCTCAGCATTTTCTGAGTGAGGAGGGGCAAGAGAGTGGGTTAGGAATGGGGAGTTTATGTAAAAGAGGGGTTAAGAAAAACAGAATAATAAATAATGGTGAAGGAGAAATATCATCCTTTGGTAGAAAGAACTTTAGACTGGGATATATAAAGCCTTAAATTCTACCCTGACTTTATTTATTTATGTATTAGTTATAAGATCCTAGACAAGTTATTTAACTTCCCTGATTGTCGAGTCATTCTTCTATAAAACTAGAGTAACGAAAAAAAAAAAAGAAAAAAAAAAGACTGTCTGGATCAGTGCTTGCCTGGGGCTAGGGGTGGAATGAGAAGTGACTGTAAAAGGGCACAAGTTTGGTGGGGGTGAAGTGGTGGGAATGTTTTCAAATTAAATTGTGATGATGATTGCATGGCTCTGTAAATATACTAAAAGTCTTTGAATTGCATACTTAAATTGGGTGGATGTTATATTATATAAATTATACCTCAATAAAGCTGTCAGTTTTTTAAAAAGGACTGTCTGAACATTCAGGTATTACATTAAATGGCATTCTATGAAAGCAAAGCACAATAAAAATGCCGTTTATTATTATTATTATTATTATTATTATTAGAACGGACTTTCACTCTTGTTGCCCAGGCTGGAGTGCAGTGGCGCTATCTCGGCTCACCGCAACCTCCACCTCCCGGGTTCAAGCGATTCTCCTGCCTCAGTCTCCGAGTAGGTGGGATTACAGGCGCACGTCACCACGCCCAGCTAATTTTGTATTTTTAGTAGAGACGGGGTTTCTTCATGTTGGTCAGGCTGGTCTCGAACTCCCGACCTCAGGTGATCCGCCCGCCTCGGCCTTCCAAAGTGCTGGGATTACAGACGTAAGCCACCGCGCCTGGCCCCGTTTATTGTTATGAGCTGTGTGACCTGGAGCAAGGCACTTCACCTGTCTGGGCCTTAGTTTATTCATCTGTCAGATTGGAGTATTTGTCACTATCGCCATGTAGGGCAGCTGTGGTGTGCTCATTTATTTACACTGAAGAATTTCAAGTGGAAATAAAGATTGTAAAGGAGTAAGTCCGAAGGAGAACCAGAGTGATTAGAGGAGAGAAGAGAATAAGGAGACGAAAGTAGAGGGAGAGATAAGGAGAGAGGTGTAGGGAGAAGATAAGAAAAGATGGAGAGATTGGGAGGGACGAGGCTGTGGCCTCAGCACAGTAACCTGATCCAAGAGAAGTGGAAAGAGACACCAGGCCAACCTGCCCTGCACTCAGGCGGTGCTTTCCCCAAAGGGCGATCGCCGCAGCCGAGAGCGGCCACCTGGGGGCGCCCTCATCTTGACCCCCGCCCTGGCCGGGGCGGCGGAGTGGCGCTGCGCGAGAGACGCCCCCCACCTGTGGCCCCGCTTCCTCCGGCCCACGGCTCCCCAGCACCCCGGCTGTCATTACCCGCCCGCCCGGCCCCGCGGCCAAAAAAAGGCCCCTGCGGTGCGCGTCCGGCCCTGGGTGTCCTCGCGCACGCTGGGTACAGACGCCCCAGCGCCGCCCCGGGAGCCGAGTGGCGGAGGCCCAGGTGTCTGGATTTGACGAGCGACAGGCAAGGCCCTCTGTGCGCGAGGCCGCCCGGCACCTCGGCCTCCTCCCCCGCGGGAACGCGCCGACACCCCAGCCACGCGGGACACCAGTCCGAAGCCCTCTCCGCCGAGGGGAGCACCCAGAGTCAACTCTCGGGGGTCTCGGCCCGCGCCTGAAGGAGGCCGGGGAAGGACCGACCGGCTCCGGCACCAACGGGCACTGACACAGCTCCCGGGCTCCCACGGGGTCCTAGGACAAGGTCCAAAGCCAGCCCCAGAGCACCAGACCCGGCCCTTCGCGAGGCCACTGCTCGGGCGCTCCCGGGAGCCCCGCCCCGCGGGTCGTCCGGCCTCACCTGTGTCCCTGGGGGTCGGCCTCGGCCTCGGCCTCGGCCCGAGCGGTGCATGGCTGTGGCCAGAGACCCGCCAGGCCGAGCTGGGGTCCTCTCGGCCGCCGCCTTCGCCCTCCAGGCGCACATCCGCCTTCGAGAAAGGGCCGCCGGCAGAGGAAGGAGTCAGGAAGGGAAGGAAACTGAGGCGGGGAGCCCAGCGGGGCACGCCCGAGTGGGGAGGGGGACGAGAGAACTTAAGGATGAGAAAAACCTGGCAGAGATGAATGGGGGTGTGCAGAGGGACGGGGCGGGGAAGGGGAGCCACCGGGATGTGAAGGGGAAAATGAAAGGCCGACTAAGGGATGCGAAAAAACGCAAGTTGGGGAGGGGAAGACCGAGGGCAGAGGATGCGGCGGGGAGACTGAGGAACACAGAGGTGGAGGGGTCGGGGGAGACAGGACAGGCGGGTCCTCAAGTGGAAGGGACAACAGACGGGAGGACTGGGGATGCGCGAGGAGGTATTGAGGGCAGCGGAGGGGAGACTGACGGGCGGGGAGATGGGGCGAAGGAGAGGGAGGCTGGGGCCGACCGGGACCCCAAAGGCGGGAGAGAGGAGAGATGGGCGGCCCGAGGAGAGGGGGAGCTGGGAGAGCGCGGATGGAGCCGGGGCTGTTGAGTGGGTGTCCGGTGGTGGAAAGGTGCCTCTCCGCGGTCCGCAGGGCCGAGGGAGGGAGGTTTCCGCAAGGGAGCGGCCCCTTGCACCCCTCGGCCTGCTCCTGCCCAGGCCGCCCGCGTGGGACAAGGCCGCAGTGTTGGGCGCCTGCCGTGGCCACCCGCCCGCCCCTGACAAGAGGCCTTTCTTTGGCGGGGCAAGGAGAAGGAGCCGCTTGTTTGCGCGGCCGGGAAACGGGTAGGCCCCACAGACATCTCCCGTTCCCAGTCGGGCAGCTGCGGCAAGGGCGGCTGAATGTGTGTGAGGGGCCGCGTGTGTGAGCTGGGGCTGTGGTGTGAGCTGGGCTGTGTGTGTGACTGGGGCTGCATGTGTGAGGGGGCTGCATGTGTGAGCTGGGCTGCGTGTGTGTGTTGGGCTGTGTGAGACTTGGGCTGCGTGTGTGAGGGGCTGCGTGTGTGAGGGGCTGTGTGTGTGATGGGCGGTGTGTGTGAGCTGGACTGTGTGACGGGCTGTGTGATGGGCTGTGTGTGAGCTGGGCTGCGTGTGTGAGTTGGGCTTTGTGTGACTTGGGCTGCGTGTGTGAGGGGGCTGCATGTGTGAGCTGGGCTGCGTGTGTGAGTTGGGCTGTGTGTGACGGGCTGCGTGTGTGAGGGGGTTGCATGTGTGAGGGGGCTGCGTGAGGGGCTGCGTGTGTGAGGGGCTGATTGTGTGTGATGGGCTGTGTGTGTGAGCTGGACTGTGTGTGTGACGGGCTGTGTGATGGGCTGTGTGTGTGAGCTGGGCTGTGTGTATGAGCTGGGCTGTGTGTGTAAGCTGGGCTGTGTGTGTGACGGGCTGCTTGTGTGAGCTGCACTGTGTGTGTGTGACGAGCTGCTTGTGTGAGCTGGGCTATGTGTGTGTGACGGGCTGCTTGTGTGAGCTGCATTGTGTGTGTGTGACGAGCTGCTTGTGTGAGCTGCACTGTGTGTGTGTGACGAGCTGCTTGTGTGAGCTGGGCTGTGTGTGTGACAGGCTGTTTGTGTGAGCTGGGCTGTGTGACTGGGGCTGGGTGTGTGAGCTGGGCTGTGTGTGTAAGCTGGGCTTCGTGTGTGAGCTGGGTTGTGTGTGTGACTGGGGTGCGTGTGTGAGCTGGGCTGTGTGACGGGTGCATGTGTGAGCTGGGGTGCGTGTAAGCGGGGTTGCAGGTGTGAGGGGCTGCATGAGGGCGGGGCGGTTTCCTGTGAGGCGCAGCACATGGAGTGCGTGGGCAGGCCTCGGCGTGTGGGCGGGTCCGGGTGTGTCTGGGTGGCGTGACGCAGGGACGTAGGTATGCGAAGTGTCGCGGAGGCGTGCGTGTGTGCCGCGTGGGAGCTCGGCATGGTGGGGCGCCTGCGTTTGCGTGTGGCGGCTGTGGGGTGAGCCCGCCGTCCAATGAGTCAGCCTCCAGAGGCTCCAGGACCGCTGAGCTAACGGCCCAGAATGCAGCCCCGCCCCGGAGCCGTGGGTCCCCGGCCGGGCTGTGCGGTCGCCGGGCCAAGTCCCCACTCGAGCCTGCCTCGGCGGAAGCGCCCGCGGGCGACTCGGCCACCCTGCGCCGGCGCCCCCACCCAACCGCCCGCCCGCACTTTCCTATCCCGGGGGAGCCCAGATGACTTGGGTCAGCCTCCGCTCGGGGGAACTCTAGAGATTCTAGTCCGGACGGCGCGGCGTGGCAAGGCGCCCCAGGCTGCCTCCCTGGCCCCCGAGGACGTGGGGCCTTGGGGAGTGCCTGGGAGCCCCCAGGCGGGCTTCCCATCTCCTGGACACCCCCAGGCATCCCTCCTAGACGCCCAAGACTCTGAGCCGGACTCCGAATCCCTTCCTGGTCCATCAAGGCGGCCGGCCTGGGGACAGGGGGAAGACGTCACAGGAGATACCCCCCCTCCCCAAGGTCCTACTGTGGGCGGACAGGGGGAGGTGTGGGGCGCTGGAGGACGAAAACCCGCGCGCGCGCTCGCCACCCAACACCCCGCGAGTGTCCGCCCGGCCGCCTGGGTGCCCACGGGAGAGAGTCTGGATGGGGCCAGGATCAGCGTTTCTCCAAGCGGGGGAGAGCGCCACGGCCCCCTCTGGCGGTGGCGTTGGCAGCGGCCGAGGAAGGCAAAAGCAAGCGGCTCACAGGAAAACTCCCCACAGCGCCCCTTTCGCCTCTACGCACTCACCTGGGGTGCCCTCACTCCCCCACGGGTTTCTGCCGAGCTCCCTAGCCTAGAGCTGATCTCAGGGCTCTCGCCAGGCCCCAGGGACTTCCCCTTATCCAGTCCTAGCACCGCAGCGAATGGGATCCGCAAGTGTAGTGGGAGGGGGCACTCTTACCTAGAGGTGGGGGGGACAGGGAGACACTGGTCCCTTAGCCCGGCTTGGCTCGGTCGCGGTGGCCTCAGGCTTAGGAGGACACTGTTGCCTTTCCCCGGGAGCCCGCTGAGTAGGAGGAGAGCGAGCCTGTCCCGCCCCGCTCCCGCCAGTCCCCGCCCCCGTCCCCCATCCCGTCCGCCTGGCCAGCCAAAGAAGACGCCCTTGTGGGGCTGGAGCCCAAGGTCCCCCCACCCACCCTTTCCCACAGCAGCACCTCCCCCAGCCTGCACAGCGCCCGCTTTGTTCATCTTTGCAGCTGGGCTCTCCACCACCACCACTACCACCACCACCACTGCCACCACGGCCACCAGCAAGACTACACACCCCCCTCTCCTCCCACCCTGCCCTCCCGACTCTCCTAGACCACCCTCCACTCCTAGGCTTTAACGCGCTTCTGAGAGGGTGTTTTTGACAATCTGTTTCCCTGCCCCCAAACTCTCCCCTCTTTCTTTTTGCCTTTGATGCCTGAAACCTCCACAGGCTCCTAGTGAACCCCCTAAATCGAAGCCCCTACAACATGCTCTCAATATCTCCAGAACATCTACTGAGGGTACGCAGGTCTTCTCCCTGTCACCCCCTCCCCTCGCCCCATTCCAAGTCCCACCATGAAGAGCTGTAAATGGGATTGATAACCACGCACATCAGGCTTCACAGACTTTCTTAAGGATAGGCACAAGAAGACACGTTAAAGTACCATGCAAACTCCAAAGCACAGGAACGCGGAATGGAATTATCATCTTGCACCCATGGAGCTCCACACCCATCCACGCTGACAGACCTGCTGGTTACAGATTGGGATATGGAGGCAGGCTGTAGACTTACAGTTGAGCACACCAACCTGTAGTAGGAGTGGGAGTTAATAAGGAAGAGAAGGAAGCACTAAACACTTAAAAGCGGCCCCCAAATTGAGCTAGGTTGAAGTCATTCTCCATCTCAACCTCCACCCTGAAATCCAATGCTGACAGTGGATCCTTACCTTGCAAAGCCAGCTCTTGGCCCAGGAGACTGGCTGGGGAGACCCTAGGGAGCTGAACTCAGACTTCTGGACTTCTTTGACCTGCACTAGAGGGACCCTGGAGACTCTTCTTCACTGAAGGAAGGAGCAGAAAGCCTGTAAGTCTGGTCTAAATTCCAGCTGGGGTGGATAGCAAAAAATAATTTTTCCTCTTTGAGATGGACAAGTGCTGTTCTGATTCAATGAGTTTAGTTAGTGCTGTCTCTCCCTAACCCAGGAACAGCAGGAGGCTGAAATACAGGAATCTCTGGTCACTCATTGACAGGGCTAGCCTTAGCAGGGGGCCCCCCACGGCTGGAGACTGAAGTTGACCGGGGCCAAGCAGCAGACAAGGAGGGGGAGGGGAGAGGCCTCCCTTTGCTGCCACCTGCTATAGCTAATGAAGATGGAACACTCAAGCTCCAGAATATGCTGTGGGTACCAGGAAGTCCTAGGATGTGAGGAGCGAGACTCTTAATTTTTTCTCTCTTCATATTGTTTGAAGTCATGAAAGTAATTGTGGTGAAACTTCATGAGGCAGATCACAAAGGTAATAGCCCATTCGGGTATGTAAAAAAACGAAGAAAGAAAAAACCCAAACTGTTGTATCCCATGTGCCAAGACCCAGCACTGAGGGGAGGGGTCCAGATTGCGGTACCTCAGAGGCTTTTCACTTCATTCTGTTTCACCACCCCCAGCTCCTCTTTACTGTACTGGGCAGGAGGAGTTTCAGGGAATAATCAAGCCTGCCATGGAGGCAGCAGATGCTGAGGCAGAGGGTCGAAACAGCACCCAGCTTCTCTCACTGTCCTCCCAACACAGGGACCAGCTGACCCCATGATAAAGGCGCTGTGCAATGTGTCCTCTCTCCTGCTGTGTCAGGCCTCTATGTTCCCACAGTTAGAGCACTCAGGGGACTAAAGACCTACCGCCCCCACTCTTCATCCTCGCCCTGCTCCACATCTGGAGCCCATCAAAAAACTCAGTGCTCTCTCATAGTTACGCAAGAGGTCGAGCAGCTGGGAGCTCAGGAAAGGAGGAGGAGGAGAGGGAAAGCAAGCAGAAAACAGCTTTCCAGGCTTGCTTCAGACTTTCCGAAGTGGAAGCAGGGGGAGAGGGCAAAGCCTGGGTGTGGAAGGAAGGGTGGATTTTTCTAAGGCCCTCTGCATTGGCTATGAATGTCAGGAGTGGATTTCCATACTCCTGCTTTTGCCTTGGCACATTCCCCACCTTGTCCCACCTCTCAAATTGTACTCCCTCTAGCCCCAGAGAGGTGATTATTGCTCATACAGCATGCAATCCTTGTAGATACACACCCTCTTCCAGAAAGCTATCCCTTTCTGGCCTCTGGATCCTGAAGTCACCATCACTGGTGTAGGCATAGTGGTAGCAATGACCCTTGGGGAAAAACTTGGGGAAAAACTCAAAACTTGGGGAAAAACTCAAAGCTGTCTTTTCAGCTTGTCTTAGAAATTGCAGTCTGCTTCTACCCAAAGCTAACACGCATTCAAGCTGAGTGGGAAATTTGGGGAGGACAGAAAACTGGTCTTGTGTACCTCCAAGGCTAAGGGCTTTCCTAATGAGCTGAAAAGAACAAGCATTCATTTGGGCAAAAGAATGGGAAACAAGACCTATTTCGATTTCTCTCATTGTCTTGAATTTCTAATGCTTCTTTCAAACAGCCCCTGTCCTGGTTTGGTAATCAATCTGATCACAGAGTACACCTAGGGCAGCTTTCCAGAACTGGTTTAGACCCTAAATAATCACTTAGCCCCTTCCCTAAGAACAGCAGGTCAAATAACTTTGGTCGGGGGTGGGAGAAGTGGCCCAAGCTTCTGAAAACTCTAATAGCTTGACTTGTGATTGTGAGTGAGGGAAAACAGCCTGGTTTGGAAAGATAGTCTAATTTTCCTAAAGGCCTACCTCCGTATCAATCACCAACTCCCCAGGATAAGGCGTTAAGACGTTTGTAGTGTTGCTGTCTGCCCTTGGGTAACAGCAATGCACAGCAACAAACCTACTAGTGGATCTTCTAAGACGAGGGAATTTGGGGTGAGGGGGTTGTAATAACACAGATGTGCATAGCAAAAGAAAATCATTTGTGAGATTTTGCTTGTGATTTCTCTAAAGCCTACAAGACAGAAGCCATATTCACTACTCTCATATAGATCCATGTTTAGTACTAGCTGTGGTTAACACTTGTCTAACTTGGAAAAAAAAAAAAAAGGCTTTGGAAGCAGGTATAGTCATTGCTTCTAGTTAGACTTTAATCTTCTTGAGGATGATTTTTTCCATTTTTCTCCTGTCTCCTTCCAATAAGCCCTGCCAGATGTGAAGTTTAATAAAAAGCTATTCTATAGCAACCCTGTAAATCTCAGACCCTACCTACAGTGTGAACAACTTTAAAACTGTTCACAATTTAAAAATTAATTGGAGGGCAAAGTTTCCCATCAGAGATGCATGGGTTGACAAATTTGAAGCTACAGTGAGTAAAGGAATGACAGATCTTAATCGTTTCATTGGAGTAAGGCTACAGTCTCACTCAGAGAGCTAAGCCACACTTGAGCAACATTAGACCAGATACTTTTTCACCAAGAAAAAATCAGAATCTTAGCTTTCAATGTTAAATTAAAAATTTCTCGGCCAGGCGCGGTGGCTCAAGCCTGTAATCCCAGCACTTTGGGAGGCCGAGGCGGGTGGATCACGAGGTCAGGAGATCGAGACTATCCTGGCTAACATGGTGAAACCCCGTCTCTACTAAAAATACAAAAAACTAGCCGGGCGTGGTGGCGGGCGCCTGTAGTCCCAGCTACTCGGGAGGCTGAGGCGGGAGAAGGGCGTGAACCCGGGAGGCGGAGCTTGCAGTGAGCCAAGATCACGCCACTGCACTCCAGCCTGGGAGACACAGCGAGACTCCGTCTCAAAAAAAAAAAAAAAAAAATTAAAAATTTCTCATCCCAGATACTTATTAATAAGTGAGAATAATTTGCCTTCCAATGTTTTGACACTCAATAGTTTTTCCAAGTTAAATTTTAAAAAAGCATAAGAAAGTAAGCAGCTCTGGCCAGGTGCAGTGGCTCATGCCTGTAATCCCAGCACTTTGGGAGGCCGAGGCGGGGAGATCACAAGGTCAGGAATTCAAGACCAGCCTGGCCAACATGGTGAAACCCTGTCTCTACTAAAATACAAAAAAAATTAGCCGGGCATGATGGCGGTTGCCTGTAATCCCAGCTACTTGGGAGGCTGACGCAGGAGAATTGCTTGAAGCTGGGCGATGGTGGTGGCTGCAGTGAGCCGAGATCGCGCCACTGCACTCCAGCCTGGGCAGCTGAGCGAGACTGTCTCAAAAAAAACAAAAAAAAAGTAAGTGGCTTTACCCAAGGGAATTATCAACAGTTCCCAAAAATTGTTCCCATTATCCCTCATCCCTGGAACACTTCTCATCATGGTCTAATGGGGAAGAGAAGACTCCCGGATTAAAGATGAAGCCTGACTTTTCTGACTCTCCAACTGCCATCTGACAAAATTAAGACTCCAATCCCCCAAAAGGCCAGAAGTAGCATCAGATTCAAAAGCTACACTGTCAGGAGTGCATGTATCAAATGTAGAAAAATACACAAGGAAGCACAATACATATAATATGGAGAAAAGGCAATGAATACTCTCAGAGATTATTTTCTCTTAAAAAAAAAGTCATTAATTTTTAATCTTAGGTCCCATTACAGCATCCTGAATCAACAAGCAGACACCAAAGTGAGTCAAGAATCCAATAAACATCTCATTTTATAATGCTCTTTATTTGATTAAAGAATTTGCCTTCTTTGTATACACTGGAATGTTATATTCCCTATGTATTTTACAGGGTTACAAAATGTCTCTCATTTTAAATATTACCCCAAAAGTAATCTCAGAAAAAAAAGGTTTTTTGAAATTAAACTTGACTTTTAAAAAATCATATGGACAAACAACTTTCAAACAAAACTGGATTAGTAGGATTTCTTGCCTACTTAACTACATGACAGACTTCTTGTCCCAGGCCCCTTTCTCAGAAAAACCTCATGTGGAAACCAAGCTGGAGATAAGAATTCTTCCCTGATGCAGTTAGGGGAAAGGAAAAGGCTAGAAACTTCTTTGGCAAGCAGTTCCATACACAGCCATTTATGTGCGAGTGCTCTGCTTCAAGTACAGTACACTCTTTGCAGGGAAGGCCAGATGTTGTTCAGAGTGGGAGTGGTACTTGTCAACCAGCTAAAAGCACAGAAGTCCATCTAGTCATCTGCCTCTTCCCACTGCCAGTGCCTGCAGCCTTGTAGCAACTTTTCACCACCCTATGGACTGGAATACTGAGTTAAAAGCCAAGGCTGAGCTGGCTGACACTGTAGTCTCCATTGAAAACGAAATGGGTGAGATGGAACCGAGAAACCACCAGTACATGATGATACTCAAAAGGTTTAGAGGGAAGAGAAGGATGGATTTCAGAGATGGGGACAGATAGACTGGTGGAAAATGTTGGGCTGACTGGAAGGAAATGGGGTATACATGAGTAATCTGTACATACCAAAACAATCAGTTGCCTCCTAAAATGCAAAAAATCGAATGGTGAAATGAAGCCTCCTTGACAGTTTAGGGCCAACAGGATTGGCACAAAGACTCCTTGAACCCACAGCCTTCAAAATCATAACCCTGTTTCTGTTTGAAAGGAGAGGACTGATGACAGAGAGTGCAGTCTAGAAGTGGGAGGTGGTGAAATTGAGGAATGTGAATGGATTACAAAGACTGAGGCTATTACGTTTTAGCTTAAGTACCCAAAATGTGGAGAACTGGAAATTTGGGTAGCAATAGCAGCAGACATGATTACATGTGGATGTGAAATCCCTAACTGGACAGACATAACCATTCTTTTAGACATCTTGAAGAGGGACTGTGCCATTTGAAAGGTATGTCTCAGCTATCTTTAATATTGACACAAGTGGGATTCACGGTACTGTTCTAAACTGGAAGGACAGGCCCTGAAAGGAAAACAACTTGGCAAAGAGATGAAGGAATGAATGGATATGGGAAAAGGACAGAAGACATCCTTATCTTTTAACTTCTAGACCCCACACCCCTCAAACAGTTCACCTGAATAGTCCAAAAATCAAGAATGGGTTAGATATACTTGTTGCAGGAGTGCCAAATAAATACAATGCCTGTAAACAGATGATCCCAGTGCCTGACTGAATG